AGGAAAGAGTGAAACTTTTTTGTTAATTTTTGTTCATTTGAAATATTCATTTATTCATGATACTTTCTAATAGACCACATGCTTACGAAATCCATCTTCACAGTCCAAATGTAAGGTTTGCTATAATTATAACAGATCTCATACAGTACGTATTGTTTGCAACGAAAATGATTTCTGATATTGAAATAAAATGAGAAGCTTGAAATCTTATTCTACATTCTGCCACAAAAATAACTGCGCACGCATATAGATATAGATAAAAGTTCTCTTGTCAAATGTGGTCTCAGAAAATCTCGCAAAAATGTGGTCTTTCGTGATTATAAATCCTTGATACAGATTTTAAGCGTATGGCGTCATAGCTTCCTCTATATTTAAAGAATTATAGCTCTGTGTTTTAAGTAGAATGAATTCTAATTTTAAATACTAATTCGTCAATCATGTTAAGGAGTATAGACTTTAGAATAATAAGTACAAAACAAATTAACAAAACGAACAATATAAAGAACAAACAATAATGGCTTCAATAATGTTGAAAATATGAGTAAGGAAAACATGACCTACGCGGTCTCGATCTTACATCACGTGAAACACATAGAAACTATAAAACCGTAGTTTACCCTGCTCAGTATAATTACTTAAAGACACATTATGCCTCAGAAACAAATAAATTTTAAATCCTCTAGAAAGGTCAAACATTTGTTTGTGGTTTTAAAGCATGTTAGGTGTTTGTTAACTGAAGAAAGTAGCGATAAATGTGAAACAATTTGTCATAAAAGTAGCAAAATGTAAACAAAGTAAGTAGTATTTTGACTTCCGAACAAGATATTTAATCGCTATACTAAATGCCAAAAAGCAAGATAAGAAAAGGATATTTAGCCAATTATTAACTTTTTTGGAAACTATAAAAGTACATCAAATATAAATAGCTTTTGAAAAATAAAATTGAAGCATTTCTAAGGCATAATGGGCCTTTAATAGATACAAATTAGATTAAATCACAACTTACTGTGTACATCTAACGGAACTTTCCGAAAATCATTCGAACATTTATCAAGGGGGAGAATCACGCCGTTCGTTACCCAAACAAAGAAGATGGCGGATGCAGCCAAAAAGTAGGTTTTTCCCTTTTTTCTCTGAAATTCGTGATGTTCTGATGTTAAAGTACATATAAACAACCTTCTACACAATTTTCCTAGCCACACAGGATGTTATTTCATGATGTTTCGTCCCGTACTTCATCTGAAATGCGCGTCACAAGATTCGAAGCGAGAGAATTTTCCACCGGTTTGACCGTGGTAACGTACGGCTTTTTCTCTCAAATTCACTGTTTCTTTTACATATATGTATATTAACTGAAACCACTGACTTAAAAAAGTTGTTTATATGTTGTCAAGTAAGCATTCATTGCCGATTCTGGCTAGATTTACTGCTGTAAATATTAATATCGGGCATTTTTCCGGAAATGATAACGTACGGCGCACAAAATATCAATGATAACGTACGGCGCATTTTTTTCTGATTAATTGATTTTCTTTATAATAGAAAAGTTTATGTTTACAAGACATAAGTGGATATGTAGAACCAAATTAAGAAACTGAAATAAATAATATCAGTGTCAAGCTTTATTTGTCGTCCAATGAAAGCGTTGTATTTTTAAAAAAATGTGTAAATTTTCATAGAATAGAAGAACAAAAGCCGACGATATATCAAAGTTTCCGTTCATAGCAGCCTTTTTATTTTCATAGTACTTCATAGAACCGCGTTTGTGCAAATGGACAGGTTATAGTGATGAAATAAAGTTAATACTAATGAAGCCAAATAAAAGCTGACACTAAGTATGTTTGTTTTTCATCCGTAGCTGTTCTACAGAAATAAGAAAATATTCTCCGGTCGCTATCGCCCCCGTCGAAAAAGAAAAACACGGATGAACACTTACATATAACTTCGTAAACAATAGTTTAAGAGTAGCGTAATAATTTTTTAAAATCGTTCTTTCATAAATATAATGACAGTCATTAAAGCACATGGAAAAAAAACAACGGTAATTGCGTTTCTTGTGTTAAAAATCGATTTATATATACAACAATTTTGCATTAATAGTTCATATAATGTATGCTTTTTGTATGTATGTAACATGTATACGTGTGTATGTATGTGTAAATACAAGAGACCTATAAGTTATGGTTTAAAGATTCAATTTTTTGAAAAATGTTCATTATGTAACTCATTCAGAAAAATTTCGGCTGGTATTTACCCCTTTACCTCATATATACGCGAAACAACACACGTTCGACCCCTTTTAGGCCTCAGTGAAAAATGTCCTTTTTTTTGGACCCCAAAAACATGTTTTCGTTTGAGAAACGTTGCTAAAAAAAGTGAGCACTTTTTTTCGGGCGCCCCCTCCATCCAAAAGATACATCAGGGGGTTGCCAGAAGGGGGATGTGCCCCTTCTGTTTGGGGGGTTTGAAGAGGGGCAGTAGTCCCCTCATCGCCAAGAAAATTTTTGGACTTGCGAGAGGCTAAAAATGACCCCAGGTCGATCATTAGGTAAACGTGTAACCAACGCTGAAAAGCCTTTGACTCAGTTTCAATCCCTTGAGAAGTTGCAGCACTTTGAAATAAAAATTTTGATGAAAAAAACTCAAGGCAAAATATGAGTTATTTATGGCAATTTTGAAGATGCTCCATGTTGCCATTGGTAACAGGAAATTTTTAGACTGAGCATGTCGTTACAAAGGCAATGGTCCAGTCAAACATGTGTGCCAAGTTCTTGATTAGTTATTGAAACATTTTTCAAAGTTTCATAGCACTCTTGAACTTGTAACAGGAGGCTTTTCAATGAAAACGGCCATTTTTCACAATATGCTCATGAGGGAAAGGGTTACATGTTTATATGAACTGTTCGTTATTATGCATGTTTTATGTCCTCATCGGCTTTAAAGCCAAATGGAATAAAATAAAATGTTCTACTGTCTACTATAATAAAAAAACTGTGAGGCTATGTCGCGTAATTATATCTGACGCCATAGTGGCACAACGTCACGCTAAATGGTAGCGTTTCAATATTTAACCGCCCGTCTAATAAACATAATTTTTTTTATTTACCAAATTCAATAAAGTTTTTGGCATAAAATTATTTCTAACTCGTTCAATAAACTCATTATAGAACCTACATTCATTCATTTTTTCTCTGTTATGTATTTTTCTTTCACATGAGCGACCATATTGAATAAACACAGGCTCATCTCATCTGGGGTGTAAGCCTAGTCGCAATCAAATTTTCGTTTTTTTAAATGTTGACGGGTTCAAATATTAAGATTTCCTTATCAGAAATTTGTTAGGAATGATTTGGAAAAGAAAATATATCAAGCCGTCCGTACCTTTTTAACATTTTTGGCTCTGCTGAATACGTTTCTTCTTTCCAATTAGGAGATTAAGACCATTAATTATCGCACAAACACTGGCGAAATTTAATGTAAAGAACAACACTACACAAATGTTTCCTGAAAGTGGAGGCTTTTCTTTCCCATCTCTTGCATCTTTTATTTACAAAGATATTCTCAAAACCAATACACGTGTGTTTCTAATTGGTATATTAAACAACGGATATCTATTATGCACACTTTGCTAGAAAGATATTTATTTATCCGAATGGTATACAGCATTGTTTCAATTAATATATTTCTGGACCTTGACCAAACATTTTTTTTCAGATATCTTATCATTCCTACAATAAACAGTAATCTTCTTATCAGCTGATTGGACAAAATTGGAAAATTCCACCAAGTAGTAAAATGGCCGCCGTTACGTTATCATGAAATTTTGTGCGCCATACGTTTATCATTTTCCGGAAAATGCCCCGATATTAATATTTAACAGCAGTGAAATCACGCCAGGATAATTGGCATGATGACTTACTTGACAACCATATTACACAACCTTTTTTTAAGTCAGTGGTTTCAGTTAATCATACATATAATGTAAAAGAAACAGTGAATTCTGAGAGAAAAAGCCTTTACAGTTACCCGGTAAACCGGTAGAAATTTCTCTCGCTTCGAAATCTGCGTGACGCGCATTTCAGATGACAGTACGGGACGAAACATCATCGAAATAACATCCTGCCGTGCCAGGAAAAATTGCCTGTAGAAGGTTGTATATGTACCTTTACATTAGAACATCACGAATTTCAGAGAAAAAAGGGATAACCTTACTTTTTGGCTGCATCCGCCATCTTGTTTGTTTGGGTTACGAACGGCGTGATTCTCCCCCTTGTTTATATATTGTGTGCATTGACCGTAAAGTCAGTATGCAATTGACAGGTTAATAAAATTAACCAGAGAGCATGCAGTTCAGCTGGAACAATTCAGAAAAGGGCCGAGAAGTTGCGAAGTGGTGAGGATTTGATCATCATTTGTTCGCTATAATTTAAAACGTAGAACTATCTGAATGAATCCACAATATAATCGATTTCTTCTTTTCTAGGTTTCTTTAACGCTTCTTTCTCTTGTGTTATTTTTTATTTCTCTTTTATTTTTTCCACCTTATAATGTTTCGGTTTTAAAACTAAGTACTTTTAACTATATAAAGTGATTTATTTGGCAATGTCGCATGGTTATATGGCGATCACTTTACGCCGACCAGAACCTCACACAGAGTTTTGTTTTTTGTAGCTGTTTTTCTTTCTTTCTTTCTTTCTTTCTTTCTTTTTCTTTCTTTCTTTCTTTCTTTCTTTCTTTCTTTTTCTTTCTTTCTTTCTTTCTTTCTTTCTTTCTTTCTTTCTTTCTTTCTTTCTTTCTTTAGGCGGCTGGGTACGTGCCACGTTTCGTAAGCAAACACGACTTCTTCTTTCCTTTAAAAAAAGTTTGACATGTCCTTTTCAGGATTTAAACATATATATATGTATACACTTTACACACTCGGCAATGTTGGCCTTTTCGATTGATAGATATGTTATCAAAGTAAACAAAGAATTGCACATTGACATAGCAAATGTAGGATAAACGATAGTTCATTTGTGTATAACCGTGAAATAAGGGGTAGACTGTTTATCAAATCTTTAACTTGTAAATATTTCATTCGAAAACTGCCATGGATTAAAAACCGATTTTGCTCATACCATTATAAAATTAGGACAAAACGATAAAGAGCTAATATCAGGTACGGATATGTCTGCTACCAGTTTTTGTGATATGTAAGGTGACCAATGTTACACAATGATATGGAATAAGCGAATTTTAAAGAATAACTAAAGTCATATAAGGACTATTTGATACAGTGATATATCCTGATATATATTACGTTTATGTGTATAAGCACATGGACGTACATTAAAGGATAACACACTCAGAGAAGTTCTTTAATCGCCATCATTCATTAGTTCCATCCATCATTAATTCCAATCATAGTTTAATGCTTTGTTGTTGCTTTTTTAATTGTGAAGCCTGTACGTAGTCTGTTTTAATTTAAACCTTTACCAAATCAAGTCTTTATAAATAATATATTGGCAAAAACAAATACATGTTCACCGCCAAGTTACCCTGATGAAACCTGAAGAAGTTAGCTTATAGAGTTAGGCCAACCTTCATATCGGCTGAATTAAAAAAAAAATATATAATGGGCGGTTCCAAAAATGAAAGATGGAGAAGTCCATTGAAAGTTCAGGGAAAGATTTTAAGTATGAATAATACTTAGAATTGTTTGAGTGGCATACAAAATGCGCGAATTTCATAACTTTAATCAAATAAAATAGCAAATCTTTTTGCTCTGTGCACTGTACTCAATTTCGTCAGTATTATTATTATGATTATTACTAGTTTGTTTGATCCTGAAGAAAACCACAACCGTCTTAGTAAAGCATACAATTTTTTTCTTAGCCTTTACAATGTTATGTTTACTAAGTTTATATACATGTACATCATTCAGTCTTACTGGAGACTGTATTATTTAGCTTAAGCAGGTGGGGTGGTTTTGACCTCTGGCGTTGCGTTAAGTTGGTAACACCCGAGGTTAGTCCAAATCATCTTTTCTTACCCAAGCACAATATGACCTTAATTCTGTAATTGCGCCATGAAATTAAACCAAATTTATTTCTCCTTTTTAAATACTACTATGCATTTTTAAAATATATTTCACCGAATTGTAAAATAATATACTATTGAAGGAATTCAAGGAGGATTGGGCGTTTATACACGAAAGAATGGGAGTTTTGAAGTCTTTGATTGTAGTCGGTATATTGGTCGCCGTAATAGCATATTATGTACGTCCAGTCTTTCCGGAAACAGCCAGTAATCATGGTTTGAAAACGTTTGTTGGTTTGAGCTTCAAGTTTATGCAAGCTGCGGTATGTGTAATGATTTATTTCACACCTTCTAAGAATTAACCAATGAGATTTTAGCGTTTGAACCACGTGACGTCCAATCTGATCAATTAAGCCTCGTTTCCATTTCCAGACTCTAATATATCTATATCAAATGCATATCGTACTTCAATCTATCCTCATAACTCCTAAAATTCTATTTCAATTCCGTTTTGTACAGCTCTGTAAAAATGTTGAAAAAATTTATGTGTTAAGAACAATAATGATTCGATTGGACTCGTACGCAGCTTTAAAACCTATAAACTTATATCAGATTCGGCGGGAGCCTCGTCTAATATAGAGTTGACAGCTTTGTACTATTCCAATAGAATTCTGTATTATCCAGTAAGTTATCAACAAAAGCTGGTTAGATTCAAGGACCGGCCACAGAGAAGTGACAGAAAACGTTTTAAAATCGGCGTTTAACCAAACAAACAACCAACCAAAAGGATGTTACTTTAAGTTCCTTGTAGTATGTTAATGGTTAAAAAACGACCTAAGAAAATTTCGTTAATTTGATGGGTTCTTCTTATGTTATAAAACAAACATTCAGTACAATGTAAAGAATTTTGTTCACGTCACAAGGTGTAATAATTTACGTACGGAATGTTAGCTACTTATTTCATAAGGATAGCAAATATTCTTATGTTTTAGGAAATGACTTCCCAAACATATACTGACGAGATTTAGCACATTAGAGATATATTACTGCGCACGACCAAACAGAATCGTGTTCTTGTGCACATTAACTCTGAAGTAACAAATTAAAAATTATATATTGTGACATTGTGTTTATTTTATTACCACATTAGTTTTTTTCATTTACACTATGATATTTTTTTAAGTTGCATAAGGTAAACTGAAAATACTTTTACAGAATTTTACTTAAGAATTAGGAAGTTAAAGTATACTTTATTTGACTTATTCAGAGTTCGTTTGGAAGATTCTTTGGATTTTCACCGGTTAACATCACTAGAACTTTGCTCGGAGTTTCTGCTGTGTTCGACAAGCCATCTGAGAATGTAGAGGTAGTGTTTCATTATATATAATACGACACGGTTTTCATAATAAATACAATTTACAAAAATTATCATAAAATTAAAAGCACTTTATCTTGTTGAAAATATGTTAGTTTATAAAAATGATTAATAATATCTGTCATATTTTGCGGTTCGGATCGGAATATCCGTCCCGAGGTGATCCGCCCATTGGGCGGTAACGAGGCTTGCCGAGTTACCGCCCATGGGCGGGTGACCGAGGGACGGATATTCCGATCCGAACCGCAAACATATGTCAGATATTTTTTCTTGCATATTCTACCATATTCCATTATATTTTAAATTCTTTATCTTTATTTTCAATGAAAATTTATATCATTACAACCGTAACTACTTTCATTCAACAGCGTATGAATTACAAAATCATTCATAACGGTAAAATGACGTCATCTTTATCGTGCCATTGTACAGCACGCGACTCATCTGGAACCCCCCATGCCAGATGAAAATTTCCGGCATGGGTAAAACTAACGGAAACGCCTGTCTGATATGCAAGAAAGAGTGATAATACTTTTAAATACTGTACTTTCATCGCTGGCGCTACATGTACATAATTTAATCCGTTAAATCAACTGTACATGGATGTTAAAGTTATTGTACATACAACATATAGATAACTTACGATCAGGATTTGATATTTATCTATTTTAATCACTTATTAAGATATGTGTAAGTAAGTATGCTTACTACCAGCATCAGTGTTTGGTGGCAAATGAACGTAAAGCTAAATTGATCTCAGAGTAAAATGATATGCATATACATGTAATATACCGACGGTGGCATAAAGGGACCGTCAAATATTATATCTACCACGTGCGCACGCGATAGCTGCTACGTGTGCACGCAATAGCTATATCGTACGCACACGATAGCAACCACATGCGTATGCGATAACTACTACGTGCGCACGTACAAGCTGTTACATGTACTTGCGCACGCGATAGCTATTACATGCGCAAGTAATAATTGACCAATGCAGGGACTATCTCGTGCGCACGTAGTATCTCTCATGTACGCACGTAGTAGCTTTCGCGTGCGCACATAGTAACTATCGCGTGCTCACGTAGTAGCTATCGCGTACGCACGTGGTAGATAAAATATGTCAGATATCCCTCTATGCTACCGTATGTACCTCAACAAATCTTATATTCTCTTTTGAATACAACCAGTGAATGAAGAAAATGTAATTTACTTTCATTTAAATATCAAACGTATAGTTTTGTACTCCAACGACTTGCTCGTTGTCCAGGTACAGTGAGAACTGTTTACTTAGATTCTTACAGCAACAATTTGTAATCGTTGCACAGCAAGGGAGTCGATTGTGCTAACCAAGAATTGTGTATTTAACTAACTATATGCTATTGCTTTTGTGCTTTATCGTTTGATAATAAATATAAAGTTTTAATATACAGTAGGTATTTTCATTAAACATGTATGTCAATATGTAAAATATCGGGACTGATGTAAAATCTATGATAAATTGACATTATTACAGGTATATACAACTACCATGGATGGTGTAGAAGTAATGATATTTAAGCCTGTGGGAAAATCAGATGGATTGCGTCCCGGCATTCTTCATTATCATGGTGGTGGATGGGTGCATCTTTCACCAAGTAAATATCAAATATGTATAAAATTATAAATAAAATTGTTCTGTAAAATTGACCAGATGCATAGGGAATTTCTTTTTATTTATTTCATTTTTTTGTATTTTAAACTGAAACAGACAACAATCTATCAAATGGAAACTTCTCCAGACCTACTGTTCGTCTTAATAATTATGCAGAAATCAGTGAATGTGAAAGGATTTTTATTTCATTTTGAAAGGATTGGGATTATATGCGTATCGCTTAACCATGTTGATCTTAGTGCTAATATCTGTTAATTCTTATTAGTATTGGCTGCAAAAAATAACCCTGTCAATTTCCCTCCGTAAACTAACGGTAGGTAACAAATGATTCTGATCTTAAAAATAATACAGTAAGAGTTGAAACACAATTATGTTTTTTTATTATTATTTATTTTGTCAAATATAACTCGATCGATTGTGAATGGGAGATATGTTAACTTTATACTTTCAATAACTTTCTCCTCCGTCAATTTTTCTATGAAGTTGACAAAAATGTTGTTCTTTTCTTTTCTGTTGCTAACTCAACAATATAGCCATCGGAATTATAAACAAAGCTACGCGTGTTAAATAGAAAAATATCACATTGAATGGCAATAATAAAGGGAAATTTTTACTCTTTTATTTCTTTTAATATGGGTATCATGTTATGTATGTTTCTTTTTAAACACAGCATTAAATGCTCAAAAATATATGAATTCGGTTGAATGAATTTTATTCCTATTTTTAGAACTATATGCCCCGTTTTGCAAGGAAGTTGTTGAACAAACACAGAGTGTTCTTGTTTCAGTAAAGTAAGTTTTATTATATGATATGCTTTTTATATCAAATAGATACATGTACATGTAATAAACAGTTCATTCTTCGCAAAAGTATTTTAGTATTTTTATATGCAACAAATGTTTTCGGTTGATACGTATTTAACTAACATGTTTTGCTATCTGTCTTTATGAAACAAATATACATTTGCAGAAAGCTACTACAATATGTTATCATCATTAACAATTTGATTTACCAGTAAGGGACAAATGGCTTTAAGCAAAGTGTACATGCATTAAATGAAATTGGCAAAGAACCACGTTAACTTATTACCTAGACCGAGCCACGCGGGCTTTAGAGTAACACTGTATGTATGAACATTGCGCAATATATCTTTGGAACCAAAGATTTTAATTAACAAGAGATATTGAGAACTATAAAATGAAAAGTTGAAGTTAAACTTTATTTCTTAAATCTCTATATTTTACGAATATGATACGAAACTGTTATCATGCTACGAGCTTGTAAGGATATGACGCCAATTTCAAGACATTAATATACCTTCTGGTGATCAGCGACATTCCCTTTAAACGTTCACAGTTGTACCCTGTATTTGCTGATACCATATAACTACATAGTGTATAGCTTGTTTCGTGATACAGCTGCGTACTCTTTCTTTAAGATACAGACTTGCTCCTGAAAATCTCTACCCTGCACCTTTGGAGGATTGCATAACAGCGTCAAAGTATTTCCTCAGAAATGCAGAGAAATACGGCGTGGATAAAAATCGCATAGGCGTGAAAGGTAATTTCAATTTGGTAGCTATAATATGCCATACTATTCTTGTTGATACATATCATTCAGTTTTTTTTTATATTTAAGTCCAACATATGTAAATAGTTATTTCTACGAATATAAGAAATATAATGCTTAAATACAATTGACAATCGAGTTTCAATAAGGGAAAGTAAACACTTCTCGGAAAGTCTTCACCGATACCTCATTCTGGCAGACAAATTCAGTAGAAGTCGAAACATGTGCTAATTTGCATACTAAGCGCTATCTACTTACAGCATGGCAGACTGAACTAGATAAAATAGACCGTTATAAATTAACTATAATTTATCTCTTCTGAACCCGGCACATTTGAACGATTAGAGTCCAACGTCAAATTAAAAACATCGTATATGCAATTGTCATGTTTTTATGTTGTTGTTTTGTTTGTTTTTGTCCTCTCTCCCCTTTCCAGAACTTTAAAGGTGTTTGCAAAAGTAAACAAATATAATCTTTAAAATGTTTCAATAGATACTTTAAAAACTGAAGGATTTTATTTAATAAAAACTCTTTTTGTTTAGGTGACAGTGCTGGGGGGAATCTTGCCATGGCTGCAGCGCTTAAACTTTCCAAGGAACAAGATTTGCCGAGTTTGAAGTTCATGTCGCTGGACTACCCAGCACTCCAGTTCTTTGATTTCAACCTTCCATGCTACCAGAAATATGAGCATGGTCCAGGATTTCTTACCAAACGTTTGATTATTATGTACGCTCTTCTTCATGCGTTTGGCAACTTAGATTACTACGATCTACTGTATGAAAACCGTCATATAACAGATGAATTAAGAGAATCAAAATATGCCCAATACGTTAGTAAAGACATTCTGCCACCATTTATTCAAACTGATGCTAAAAATGAAAGTGTTATTTCAACACAAAGTGCTAACATGCGCTCAAAGGTTCCAGAGGAGATCATCAACAAAATAACAGATTCATACTTTGCACCTCTTATGGCTTCCGACGAAGATTTAAAGCGTTTACCACCAACTTATATCTTTAACGCTGAATTTGACGTTCTAAGAGACGACGGATTTTTATTAAAATCAAGACTAGAGAAGTTAGGTAAAACTGTAAAGATGTCCCATTTAGTAACGGAGGAACATGGATATCTTAACTTTGTGACACTAGATCCAACAGTACGAGATGAAATTAATAGATTTGCTATATTCTTCAATGAAACTCTTAGTATTGGAACCTTGTAGGAATATGTGGTGGATATAAATCACTTAAATTAGATGAATATTATGTTTTTGAACGTGCTTACTTACAAGTTGTCAGCCATATACATCAAATTACAGTGCAATACTAATTAAAACACAACATAGACATGTTTGCCAGCAGGTAAATATAGATATAGATATCTCCGAACATTTTTTGGCAACAGTTGTTTGTAAATACTTTTTTTCTGCGACACTTCTCGATCTGAATGACTGATATGTGCTGATTAAGGACTAAGGCGTATGTAAGGAGAGCCTATCTATCTTATATATCATTACAACAGGCATGTGGTATCAATCGAAACAATAGAAGATAAATAGTAATAATTATTTCATTTTTCATCACAATCATTATTTATGGAGATCAAGATTATCAATGTAATATTGACTTGACATTCAAGAAAATATCAAAGTCTTAATAGATGTACGAAAGTCTATTTTCCTTTGAAATAAATGTAAAAATATATGTTTCCAAATTTTCTTCTGGTCTATGTTTTGTAATTATATAATCATATTGTACTAATGTATCAAATCGTTTGATCGGTTTATTGCAATTCTTGTATTTCAGACATAAAGTCTTCTAAGTTTACTTCAGTATTATTTAATTGCATCATACATCGATTTATTTTAGTCGGTGGCGTAAATGTACCCGTAAAAAGTTGCTAAGGATACGCAGAGACGTAATTATCAAAAACGGACTTTGATGGTAAACTTCGACGTCATGTGTACAAGAAAATAGCTCAAACTATTGAAATCTAATCTAAAATATGAGTATCTTTTCACATGCTAATTTCTAATTTCACATGCTAAAGTGTCGCGTTCTGTCTTTAGTCACTCCGATTCAATAAAAAGAGGCAAATGTTACTAAAGGCATTTCATTTGATTGATACATTTTGATGTACAATATTTCAATCTAAAAATTGACTAACCTCAACGTAATTTCAAAAATTGAAATACTATTTTTTTATTCTTTTTCAATATAAACGTTCCATGATGTGAAAAAATAAAAGCTTTCTATACAGAGATGTTCCTTTTGCCTAGATATAGTTCATACTTTTTATAGATAGACCCTACGATGTTTTTATGCATATGTACTCAGAGAAAATGAAGAATTCTAAACAAGCAAAAATAACATTGATACCATAGTTAGATATGTAATGTATGACGAGGAATGATATATTTAACATTTTGTTACTAAACTTCTGCTTCTTTGTTAAATGATCACAAATGTACAGTTTGCTTCCTAGAGCTAACAATCACTGTTTAGAGATATTTATATTGACTGTTTGAATTAGTGATAGTATGAAAGTACCCATAATGAGAGAAAGATGAACTTCCCCATATGAAAAGGTATTTTTGTTATTCCACTCATACATTTTCCTTCAAAACTTTTACTGTCATGAAGTACAGCGGTCTGACTTTATTAATGTAGGCACTTGAGCTACAAACAATATAAAACAAAAAGAAAGAATGACTTTAAGAAAATCTATACCGAGATCAATAAAATTTTAAGATTAATTATAATACATTCAGATTTGAGAATAACAAAACCTGCTTTCTTCCGTGAGCATTTAGTCATTCGAAAGGCATTTACATGTACTTACACGACAGGGTGGTCTTAATTAAATGATTGGAGAATATTTAACAAAGAATATATTTGAATTTGCAATTAAGAATCTACTTTAAGCTACGAGGAACCTCGCCCTAATTCTATAACAATTTAACAACTTTGTAGAACACGTTGTTCAATGTAGTACTTTGAATTAATGTCTACAGTAACATTGAAGTGAAATGTTAACGTCTGAGTGTTGTCATTTTAGATGTTATTAGCACATAAACAAAAGTAATTTTATGGTTTTATATTGTTATTATTTAACGTGCAATACATGCTCGTATCACACGTATTAAGTTTGTCTTACCAACTACCAAGGTATAATTTTCAATAAATCTGAATTATTTATCTAACCATATAATGAATCCAGTAAATCTTTAACATGTTCCTATTAAATACATTAAGCCATCACGTGCAGAGCTGGATCAGTATTAAGGGTGTAGTACTAAACTGCTAGTACCTGTACCATTACCAGTACCAGTACTAGATTACATCTTTTTAGGAAATTATTAAGTATCAGTACCAGTACTTTTATATATTCATAATAGTTTGAATAATTGCACAATGTCAAACAAAAATAACATATTATATATATTTACATATTTTAATGATATATTTTGAAACAAGTATTTCCATCTCACATTTGTACACTTCAAATTTTAAAAAAGAAATGTAAATATTATTCAGAAAAAATGGAATTAATATTGACTTTAAGTTCTTTACAACTTTAATGTTTTGACATATCTTTTACAAACAATATTTACAACATATATTCATGTCATAATTATCTTATTGTTTAGTAACCAGTTAATTGTAATACAATGATCATCTTTCATTTAAAACACACGTTTTTTGTTACCTTTCACACCATCACACCTCTGTTCAACTTATACCAAAGTAAATAACTTTTATGGTGCCTTTATCTTGTTCTTGTTTACACAAAGAGAAAAGACTGATGACTTTTAATCAAAACCAAAGTACTGCCTGGTAATGCAATAGCAGTAAAGCTTTTTAAAGCAGTAATGCAGTACCAGTACCAGTATTAACAACATGTTGTAAGAGTTATTCAGTTTCACTTAAAGTACTTGCAAAATCACAATATACTTGTAAGCGCCCTAATGTGGTTGCACTTTTGCTTTTGGTTTAAAAAGAGAAAAGATGCAACAACAAGCAGTTCATCTATTTATAATTAATAAGTTTTAGCATCTATAATCTATTAAAAAATACCTTGTACATGTAAATTTATATTGAGGTACCTAACGCGGCTAAGAATGTGTTCAGTAATGACATAAATCATGATTTGTGTGTTATTTATATCATAACTTCATGTTTCAGATCCTTATAAGGAATGCCAAAACAATAATGCTAAACCTCATATTTCGTGCGAGGGTCAGTTGGCTGTTGAGAGAGATTAATCGCATTAATTGATATATAATGATTTTTTTTTATCTTAACTGCTTTTTTCTACCAAGTTCCTAGTATCCTAGTGATGGAGAGAGGGTAAAGTTAATTTCTGAACAATATATATTAATTGAGTGTTTGTCGAATTTGGTATTACTTTTATGATAACACTCTATATATTTTTCATTGTTTTATGTTTTCTGATATCTTTATTTCAGAAAAGCAACTTTAACAATATTGCTATTTCTTTGGGAAATAAATAACATACGTTTCCTATTGTCAAAACAGATAGAGTCTGGTCTCTGCAGTCCATCGGATGATTTTACGATCACGCCTAGTTTCTTACCATCACTTCCTAGTTGTATAACGTTATTTGAATAAAACCCGGACACAAACAAAGCTCCTTTACCGTCTGCACAAACACTTGACACAGTTTGTAATTCCGGATCGGTTAAAGTCTGACAGTAATTCCCTTTTCCATCCAGAAAAATAATACCTTTTGTCCAACTAGCAACAAACATCTTATTGTCTACATCACTAAAAGCAATATTGCGCGTATTTGAGAATATAATCCTCCCATTATTGTCTTGATTTACAACCTGTAACACATTGCCTGTTAAATCATATATATATATTGAGATATAATTGTCTGTTATATACAGTTTCTGATCTTTATAAGCAATGCCAAAACATTCGTGGTTAAATTTCATACTTCGTGTGAGAGTCAGTTGTCTGTTCAGCGAAACAAATTGAACTGAATTATTGTCTAAACAGACAACAGCTTCAGTATCACTTGTACAACATACACCACATGGCTGAGTAGGAAGTAAACAATGATCCTTAACTGACATATTTTGAATATCAGCACGCTTAAGTTTTTTATTGGTGTAATCACTTATAAGTAAGAATCCGTCTGTTGTTAAACAGGTTCCATATACACAACATGTTCCTCTGTCAGATTGTAAACTGATATCAAAATCTTTAATACATTCAACTGACCAGACTGATGTTGCTGTTCTTGGCTGAAGAGCAGATCCGAACGTTTTGAGGTTTTGAAGAGATGTTTGTATAGTAGGATTAAAATGATATGTGATCCTTGTCTCAGAACTGGTTTGTTCTTGTATTTTGTCGTCGTCCATCTTTGAAATATTTGAAGCAGCCATTTTCAATGAAACAAACAGCTGGGCGTTGTTTCCTTCCGATTGTTTCAAATCATTCAACGAACGTTCTAGACGGTCTATTTCGTTTTCTGCTTTCGTTTTATCTTTGCAAATTTCCTGGTCAACCTTTTGGAATATCTCCAAAACCTCGCTTATCGATTCTTTCTCGATGTTATCTAGGAAAGCGTCGAGATCTTTTCGATACTTTCTTATTTCAGTTAATGCGTCTAATTTAGACTTTTTCAAGGTTTCTCTCTGGACACGTTTGGTATCAACTACTTTTTCCTTTAATATTTTCAAATCTTTCAATTTTTGATTCATCCTTTTGATGTCTGGCATTTTAAATGCGTTGTCGACAATATCCGGGATTGACTTCACGTCAGAGCAAGAGCTGAAATGCGAGTAACTGTGTTAGTAAATAATGATGTCAGATATTATGATATCATTTTGGAAAAGTTTAACTGGTTTATTTTTAGAGGTCATTAGAAAACAAATGAAGTTTACGGCCTCATTTGTTTTCAATTTAGTTATCTGAATCGCAGATTAATGTTCAAGTGCCATCAATTATTTAGGTAAGCATAGCCAAATGTTCTTTTGTTAAAACATGCATAATTTGTAATGTGTAGTTGAGAAATAAAATTATTGGCACTTAAATGTTGATAATAATCATATGAAGTGATATAGTCCGCCCGCAAAGCTCAATAGAGGTATATAATCTATTTTTAAACCAGGTATCGCTGGTGCGATCATCGAGCGAAACGAAATTTGTCCTTGAAAATATATCTTAAATGATAATTATATTGAAAAAAAAAATTACCTATGGTTCAGTGTCATGCAAGATGTACATGCAACCTCATCATGATTTCCACAATACATGTCCACAATTTTTGTCTCGTGAACGCTACATATCTGAGTGGGTATAGCTGGCAACTGTCCAAGGACACTTGACGACTTGTAATTCGTCTGATCCAAAAACTTGTGAGACTTTAATCCCGGCAATTTGTGAAACATCTCGGCACATGGTTGACAAAAGTATCCCTGACATTCCACACAGTATTTCGAAGCTTCTCTATGTCTGTTATCGTCCAAACATGGAGAACATTTAAAATTATATATCTCGTCAGACGAAATATCACTCCCACTAGACGCCATTTTAAACTTCAATATTTACTTCCAAACTCCTCACAGTGATTACCTCCCTTGGCAGAATTGTAATCTCTGTACTGATAAGGGGAGATCACTGCGTAGGAGATTGATTTACTTCCTGTTTTACTCAATGATAACGTTTTATCTACCTTGTTTATATGTGACGATAAACCGCAAAATTTAAATGCAATTTAAATAAAGAACTTCCAATTCATATAACGTTGTTATATAGATAAAGAATCATATAGATGCCATATATTCAATTATTTTCTTAAAATCAATTCTAAAATTTACTGGACTAAATTACGTTATATTAGGCATATAGATGTTATGTTTTACTTTGAATAAAACTTCGTATATGACACAAATAATAGCTTTACAAAAAAGTATAGCTTACAATATAAATTTAATGTCGGTAATTAGTTTCAAATGTAAAGAAAATGCTATTTACAGTAAAAATATAGTGTATAAAGCAGCTATATCTAATAAATATATCTAATCAATAAAAAATAAAGAACAGTAAAGTTTTGTTTTTATAACCTTATGGTCATTTTTTAAAAGATATATATCATTGAATGCCTATTTTATTTCATCTTGTACATAAACAAAATAAAATGTTCCCAAACAGTAAATTCAGCTGCTGTTTCTAGTAGAGTTGATGCGAACTGCTAAGCGCTGCTCCCCTCCCTTTGCTTTGCTACACAGACATATATATAGCCAATCAAATCACTGTGAGGAGTTTGGAATTGGCGATGATTTCACGCATGCCGTCTAGCTTTCAATAAAATAAACTAACACATGGTAATGCTATCATTTTAATCACTACAGAAATATTCGTTTTTAAGTCACCAGATAGCAAATATATAGCAGTTTGCTCTAAAGAAGTGGTGGGGAAGTGTATAGATTGGTGGTAACATGTATTTTTTCTAATCGCCATTCAATTATGGCGAAATATATCATTTACTGGATATTAAGGGAAGATAATATAATTTTGCCAACTTATTTTCTTTAGGCATTGTTTTACGTTGGATACTTCTTCTTAGGATAACGATGAAAGCAAACTAGCTAAATGCTACTTAATTATATTGTTTTCTCTGCATAGAAAGTTTCAATAATATTCACTTAACTGTAAAAATTATTTCTTGAACCAAACTTAAAAGTCACATTAAGGCTCGGAAACGAACACATTTTTACTTGTTTAGAAGGGACAAACATGTGTTTCACTACATTGAATTAGGGCATGGTAGACACTTGTTACAAGTACATAAAGAAAGTAAGTAGCAAAATGTAGACAAAGTAGTATTTTGACTTTCATACAAAATACTAAATCACTTTAACTAGACTAATGCCACAAAGCAACAGGAACAAGAGCTGTCACAGGAGACAGTGACGCTCTACTAATAAAATACTGGACGCAGTAAGGAAGACAAAACTATTAAAGAAAAATCAATTATGTAAAATTATGTATTTTGTTAAAGTAAAAAAATAACATTTGTTAACATAAATTCCAAGTTCAAGGGGTGGGGGATAATTCTGGAAATAGTCAAGCTAGAGTTATGAACCTTGTCACACAACATGTGTGTAATAACAAGAAATAAATATTTAAAGTTTGAAGTAGATAGTTAAAAAGTAAAAAAGTTATAATATTGCTTAAAGAAAATCTAAGTTCAAAGAAAGACAAATCTGAAAATATTGCTTCAAGAGTTATGAACTTTGTGACATAAGATGAAATTGATGATAAGGAATAAGTATTTGAAGTTTGAGGTAGATATCTTTATAACTAAAGAAGTTATAGTAAAAATAACATTTTTAAGTAAAACTTAAGATGTGGTTGACGATAAGGAACATATATTTAAAGTATGAAGTTGATCCTGTAAGAAATATATAAGTAACAGTAAAAAATAATATTTTTTAAGGAAAATTCTAAGTTCAAGAGGAATAAATCTGAAAATAGTGGTACTAGACTTATGAACCTTATCACAAAAGATGTGGTTCATGATTAGAAACATATATTTGAAGTATGAAGATGATCCCTTAAGAAATAAAGAGGAAACAGTAAAAAAAAGTATTTTTAAAGAAAATTCTAAGTTCAAAGGAAGATAAATCTGAAAATATTGGTGCTACAGTTATGAACCGTATCACATAAGATGTGGTTGATGATAAAGAACTTATATGAAGTTTGAAGTTGATACCTTAAGAAATGAAAAAGTTATAGCAAAAAAATATTTTACTGCACCAAAACTTTAATCTGAAATCTGGACATCGATGCCAAGGCCATATACTTATACTCTATATACTTCGTAAAGATAAAAAGTAATGTCACTTAATTGCTCAATGAGATATGTTTTAGAAACTATAGAAATACACCTGAAATGATTAAAGCTTTTCATAAATATTAATAAAAACATTTCTGTGGCATATTGGACCTTCAATCTGTTGACAATATCTTTTAAATCTTTATCTGAAATCAAATCAGTCCCAAATCTATCCAAGCAACAGACCTATAAATCATATAACGTATAATACCTACAAGTCATTACGCTACAAATTTAACTTGGCACAGGCATACAAACATGGTCATTCAAAACTTTGAAAGGCCTGGACCTAACTGAAGCAGCCAGCTAAATGTATTGTAACAAATAATGATCTAATATTTAAAAATATACAAATCATGAAGAAATAAAAAATAAAAGCATTTCTGGTGCATATTGGACCTTCAATCTGTTGACAATATCTTTCAAGTTTTTATATGAAATGAAATCGGTTCCATATCTATCCAAGCAAAAGGCCTATAAATCATATAACATAATACCTACAAGTCATTAGGCTACAAATGTAACTTGCCATGGTCTTTCAAAAATTCGAAAGGCCTGAACTGACCCTAGCACCCAGCTTATGTATTGTAACAAATAAGAACTTGATCTAATATTTAAAAATATTCAAATGGACTATTTTAAATATATTTAAAATATTTAATTATTGACGACAGCTTCCCTGTTATGTATTCGTCAGTATTTTTTTCTAGCCTAATATTTAACAAGCTTTCTTATTGGATACTCATATCTCGTTTTTTGATTGGTCGTAGTAGTTTATTTAACGACACTGCCAGTTATTCGCGCCACTTCTTGATTTTTGTTTGTAAGCGTCACTGTTTGAACAACATTTTTGCCCGCCCGCCCTTCAACAAACCCATTTATTATTATTATTTATTTATTTATTGATTGAATTTTTTTTCCTTTTGTTTTTACATTCATATGTTCATGTTGTTTATTTGTCTTTCATCTTTATTTCATTTCATATTTTGTTTTAATAATTATTTCTTTATATAATTTATTGTTAATAGTTTAAAAATCAATTGTGCATCCTATGCTTTGCATGATTTGTTTACTGTCGTGAATCAATGTCATTTTAGTTCAGTGTTATAGGCGGGTATTTATGCTTGTTGCATTTATGTTCAACATTATCTGTATTGCATGTTCGTTTAATTTTCTGATAATTGAATTGTCTTCTTGTATTGCATGTTTGCATATTTATCTGATAATTGAATAGTCTTACATGTATTGCTTGTATAGTTATTTGTTAATATAATAGTCTTACAGTGACGCACATTCATTCATTAAAATTTAATTATTACTTTGATTTGAGTCGTTATTTAGCAAGGAAAATAATTTATGAAGGAAATGTAACACAATATATACAACAGTACTAAATGAAACATTTTTATCAACAAAGTTTATTATCTTAAATATATACATGTAACTTACATATCAAATCTGAATATTCTTAACAAAGTGATAAATTTTCTATCACAAAAAAAATAATCAAGTTGAAAAAAGTTGTGCTTTAACTTTGCAGCATTATTTTTACTAATAACATGTCTTTGTTTTATAACATCATGCATCTTCTCAAAGTTCACTTAAATTAGTCTTAAAATAGCAGAAAGTTTTCAATTTTTACAAAAAATATAAATATATTAAACTAAGCACATTTCATTACGAATTTTCTATATCAAACTTTATCTTCAATTTTTACACACTCGCCAAAAATATATTGTTTTGATCAGTTTATCACCACAATGTTTCTTTTTCTTTAGATGTTCGATATGTTTTTTTTTTTATTCCAGTGATGTTAGAATTCATATGTACACACGCCGCAGTTTGTGACTTTAATGTCTGCATTTGGTCTCTCGTTCATTGTCTCCACCTCTTCCATCTTCTTTAATGTTTCTGTACCTTCAATAATTTGTCTGAAATACATAGCATGGGAAGGATAATTTTAGACTGTGAAAAAAACCATTTGTTTGAACTGGCATTGTTTAATGTATCTTGTATTATTTCCATTACATTAGAAATTTCACCCTGAAAAATTGAGTGTAAAATGGAAATGGTATTGCATATTTTTTATAATTATTTTCTTTTATTATTATTTTTTATATATTTATTTTTTTCATTTTTCTTTTATTTGTTCATTTTTTGATTAATTTTTTTTTGTGGTTGCTTTTTTTTTCAAATTGTTTTTGAAATATATTAATACCAAAATGCTTAAATTTGGTAGCAAATAACACAGACTAGTTGAACAACTCACAAGCACATGTACTAAACAATTGTCTGCCCTAACACTATAATGATAGAATATATATGAGTAAGTTTATGGTGTTTGTGCTACGTGTTTATATTGAAAGCGTTACATATTACCCTTACCCAAATGCTACATATTTTGTGTTCATCCATGAGGCAGGGGTTAATGTGATATAAAACTGTGATCCGTTTGTATGGCGACCTTTATTAGCCATGCCAAGTATACCTCGTCGTGAATGAGGAACAGCAAAATTCTCATCTGAAATACATGTATAATGGTTAATTATGTTATTCATTCATTTTTGTTATTTGTTCAAAAATTATAACAAATGTAAAACCTATTTTATTGAGAATTTTGCACTATAATAATAGAAGTACTAAAAAACATCATTTTTATAACAAAAGAAAATATTTTAAAAAAAGTTTAAAGATTAACATATCCTTTCACAAATTTTGCACACACACATACTTTTTAAGTAAAGTGTAGAATATAAAAGAATATTTCTTTTAACCTTTTCTTTTGGTACACCCAAAGAAATCTGGCAACTGGGCTAAAAAGGTTTCTAAGTGTTGTCAGCTTGATTTTAATATTTAAAAACTGACATTCCAAATAACAGAAATAGTCACTCAGACATTACACATTCAAAAAACTATACAAATTTCAAACAGTAAATGCAGAAAACGATGTAAGAACAATTACCTTCAAAAACTGGTCCAAAAATAGATTCTCCACCATTTCCTCTCCCATGATAAATATCTGAAATAAATAATTCAACTCATCAAAGATTGTAATACATACACAAATTTTATAAATTAACTTAAAATTTTAAACTGTTAAATATGTTCTGCTTTCAAGATTTCAAAGATTATGGGGGAAAATATGGTACAAACAACATTATTTATGGTCTTTTGAAATGTAAGTCTGAGCTAATTTTTATTACATATCATATAAATGCATTAATCTAATGATGATAACAATTACCAAAAGCAGAGTTCACATAATCATACATGTCACAAAAAGGAAAAAAAAACTAATGTATAGCTGCACAACCTTCCAAAACGGACCAGTTTAATGCTTTTTATAAGACAGGTGGTCATTTTTAAAATGGATCATTTTAACATTGATTTTTATTAATAAATTTCAAGATGAGAACGAACAAATTAATTTGCTGGAATAAAGTTAAGTTTTTAAGGCATTTTATCAAATTGATTTTGAAGGCCATTGGTATACTGTACTGTATGACACTTGACAGCAAAATAGGTTTCATGATCACATTTATAAATTATGCTTATCTACTGTAATTACATCGTGTATGTAAATTGCTGGATACCTTAATAATTAATAAAATTTATATGAACAATTAAGTCAAACTTATTTTGACTCTTCTTGCTGAAATTACAGTCTGCAATGCATTATATAATTAGGGATGGCATATTCTAAATTACAGTTACAAACACTACAATTGGTCATACCTCCACCCTGTATCCAACCATTGCGTGTTATTCTGTGGAAGAGGGAGTTTTTGTATGTGAGGTTATAATCTGAAGTCTCTGATTTGCCTTTCTCTCCAGTTATCAGTGCTTTAAAATTCTCACATGTTTTTGGAACAACATCTGTGAACAGCTGAAAGTATAAGCAATAATTTTTTCCTCATGTTTCTTTATATAGCATAAATGGCATTAGATAATTATTACAGTAACAGAAATATAATATTTGCTTTGGTGTTAAAAATATAACAATGAATAATTAGGTTAAGATGTTTGTTCCTAGAATAGCACACAGCCAAAGAATGATCTAAATGGGACTGAATATAAACAAGTAACAAGGGCCAGTCACAGTAACTTGTGTAATGTTCACATGTAAACATGACAGAGTTGCCTCCCATATCATAACAATATTAGATTGAATTAAATTCATTTTTCTTGCTTGCAATAGCAATATTTTTCTTAAACTTGCTCCACTATGATGCCTTTAACGTTCCATATGTACCAGTACTTTGGAAGAGGGGTAAGCTGCCAATGACAGTGCATTAGTAAAAATTGTATACATATATGAACCAATCTCATTAAAATCAGATCATCGTTTTCACTCTATTACTCTTCATCTACCTACAGTGAAGGGTAGTGGAGCGACAGTTAAGATATGATTTTCATAAGATTGATAAATGAACATGATTAAAAAATGTCTCCCATATTTAAGAAAAGGAAAAAAAAATCTTACATATTCATGGTAGTATCAATATTTCAAACTTAATCAAATGTTTTAATCATATTTCACAAACACATATTGAATAGTCACACTCACATGAGTGACTGTCACTTTTATGCGGCCTGAAGGTCCTTCAAAAGCCCTTACCAGGCTATTATATATATATTTATATATATTAAATGAACTTGTCCATCTTTTATATTAATATTATCTTGAATGAGCTTTTCCACCAAACCCATCAAGTTTGGGGAAAAAATTTCAAAATATCTATCAAGTGAAGAGCAAACTGTTCAGAATTGTTGCATTGGGTTACTAAGAATCTGTTGGCCCTAGCAGACAAAGGATTTAAGAAAACTGATTAATATTTTGTTACCTCGAAAACCAATCTTCCTGCAGGTTCAGAGCCTATTGAAATATCCATAAACACAAACTCATGCTGTAATAATAAAATATACAGAATTTATAATAAAAGAATATATTTCCTTAAAAGAAATGGGTTAATTAATGCATGAGGTCTGAGTCACGGCAGCATGTAAGTCTATTCTCTAAGTTTTAAGTCTTAAAAAAGGGAAGGGGGGGGAATAACTATGCTAAGAAATGTACTGTTTTCCTAGAAATGACATTGAAGGTGGTATGACAATCTTAATATAATCAATACTTTGACATTTGTAGCAAGGGACATAATTTTGTCAAAATGCAAGGTTGTGTTCTTGTGATATTTTTAGTGCAGATAGACTCTGGGTTCGGTCATTATATTTGGTCTGAACCAGATGTTAAGCTCTGAAAAACCGGCTTGTCAAAATCCATGGTAGCTGTATTATACAATTACTCCTGTCATTCTGATATTAAATGTTATTAATGAAAAAGAAGAGTGTTTATATTTAGTATAATCATTTAAGCAATATATTATTATGACTTGAAATTTTTGTGAATTTACATGATGTTATTTGATAAAAATGATAAATAACTATCAATATCTTCATTTCTCTTGCTCAATTTAAAATCAAATCCTTAGTATTTATAACAAGAGGGCCATGATGGCCCTGAGGTCGCTCACCTGTATATAGGCCCCCCAACCCCCCCACCCCCCAACGTTGCAGGGGCCAATTTAACCCAAGGGCTTTTATTTGCACAAACTTGGTAGACACCCATAAGAAGATGTTTCAGGCTAAACATCTAAGCTCTTGCTCATTGGGCTTTTTTTAAAAGAAGATTTTTTTTTAAGTTTTTACTATACACATATAGTTAAAAACAATGACACCCCTGGGGCCGGGCCAGTTTTTGACCCCAGGACTTTTTATTTGAACAAACTTTGTAGACACTTACTAGAAGATGTTTCATGCTTAATAGCTAAACTCTAGCTATTTGGGTTTTTTCAAAGAAGATTTTAAGTTTTTGCTATACAAAGAAAATCAATGACCCCCGGGGCTGGGCCAATTTTGACCCCAGGTCTTTTATTTGAACAAACTTTGTAGACACTCACTAAAAGATGTTTCATGCTTAATATCTTAACTCTAGCTATTTGGGTTTTTTCAAAGAAGATTTTTTAAGTTTTTGCTATAAACATATAAGGAAAATCAATGACCCCCGGGGCGGTGCCAATTTTGACCCCAGGGCTTTTATTTGAACAAACTTGGTAGACACCTATTAGAACATGTTTGATGCTAAATATCTTAGCCATAGCTCTTTGAGTTCTTTAAAAGAAGATTTTTTAAGTTTTTACTATATGCATATTGGGAAAATCAATGACCCCCCGGGGTGGGGCCAATTTTGACCCCAGGGCTTTTATTTGAACAAACTTGGTAGACACTTATTAGAACATGTTTCATGCTAAATATCTTAGCTCTAACTCTTTTGGTTCTTTAAAAGAAGATTTTTTAAGTTTTTACTATATGCATATAGGGAAAATCAATGACCCCCTGGGGCGGGGCCTTTTTTGACCCTAGGGCTTTTATTTGAACAAACTTGGTAGACACCTATTAGAACATGTTTGATGCTCAATATCTTAGCCATAGCTCTTTGAGTTCTTTAAAAGAAGATTTTTTAAGTTTTTACTATATGCATATAGGGAAAATCAATGACCCCCCGGGGCGGGGCCAATTTTGACCCCAGGGCTTTTATTTGAACAAACTTGGTAGACACCCATTAGAACATGTTTCATGCTAAATATCTTAGCTCTAGCTCTTTGGGTTCTTTAAAAGAAGATTTTTAAGTTTTTACTATAATGCATATAGGGAAAATCAATGACCCCCCGGGGCATGGCCAATTTTGACCCCAGGGCTTTTATTTGAACAAACTTGGTAGACACTCACTAGAAGATGTTTCATGCCAAATATCTAAGCTCTAGCTCTTATGGTTTTTTAAAAGAAGATATTTAAAGTTTTTTCTTTCGGTTGCCATGGCAACCAGAGTTCTGCATGGAATTAAATTCTTTGAACAATTTTTAAAGGTGACCACCAAAGGAACATTCCTGTGAAGTTTGGATGAAATTGGCTTAGTGGTTTATGAGGAGATGTCATTTAAAGTAAAAGTTTACGGACGGACGGACGACGGACGGACGCCGGACGGACGCCGGACGAAAAGCAACCACAAAAGCTCACCCTGTCACTTTGTGACAGGTGAGCTAAAAATAGATCAAATATTTAATTTCTTTAGGCTCCTGAATATTACTTTTATATAGAGAAGAAATGTCTTGCATAATTATGAAACCAGTACAAAGTGAATCCAGTCTGTACAAATTTAAGTGCAAATCCTGATACTCTTAACTACTCAGTTTTAGTGTTACATATATGTGGTTAACTCTTAACAGACAGTTATAAATTCAGAGATGGATCAGTCCTTCATAAAAGGTCTGAAGTATCATAAGGGTTAAATAATAAAGAGTAACATTAAAAAAAAAACATGTACTCACGTTTTTGTTATTTAAACAAGATTTGTATTGTTCCTCTGTTAGTATTTCTAATAAAGGCTGAGGTCTGTACTCTTCATAATTATGATTTTCTGCTGCCCAGCGTAGAAAGTCTTCAGGACCTCCTATCAACTTCCCATTTTGAAATGTTATAGCTTTTTCTTCAAATGTCCATGTTTCTCCTCTCAACTCCTATACAAAAGGAAATTTTAACATTCAGTATTCTGTTCCAGTTTAAGACATAAACATGTCATCAAAACATTGATTTTGGCATTTAAAATAAGATTTTATCAAAAAGTGGCTTAAAACCAACATAGTGCGTTTGCGACCAGCATGGATCCAGACCAGCCTGCGCATCCGCACTGTCTGATCAGGATCCATGCTGTTCGCTTGCAACCCAGTATAACAAGTAGAGAAACTGATAGCGAACAGCATGGATCCTGATCAGACTGCGCGGATTTACACATTTATATAAACAGTTTCATATCACACAGTTCACCCTATGAATTAGTAAAATGCAAATTGGAAAAAATGTACCCTCTTCTTACTTTTTTTATTTTTTTTATTTTTGTATCTTAAAAATACTAATTAGGTTTATAATGATGCGCATTATTTATGGACCTGGAGTGACACTCTTTTTAAACAATGAAATGATTATAATTAAATTTTGTTAAAAGATCCCACTGGAGGTGTCACTTTACTGAAACTAATTTAATTAATTTCTGCAGAGATGTGTATTGTTTCTTCATTTATATTCCATTGGATAGATTATTACATATTATTATTATAAAAATTAATTTCAAATAGCAAGTAGGTAGATCCATCTTGTTTTCTTCTAAATCAATGTTACAATTTAATCTAGCTACTCTAAATGTTCTTTAAAAATTACCTTCTTCTTTGCATCAATGTACAAATCCCATTCAAACTCCACAAAGCCTTCAGTTATTGTGTCTTTGAAGATTTCTGGGTTATTATTTGTAAGATCCTTAAAAAAAAAATAAACATTACAAAAGAGTTTAAATATGACACTACTTTCCAGGACAAATTCTAAGCAGTCAAGGACCTTAAAAAATCAATCAATAAAAACTCTTGTTATTCAAATAATACATGTACATGTACTTTCAACACACAACTTTTAATCTGTGTTACACATTTCTGTTGAATTTGCCAGTAAAAAGAAATAATGCAAATTCCTCCTTGTAATAACACCACTATTGTTTGAAAATATTAGAAGTGTCAGTAGGAGAAGTAAAATAAAATGGTTTCAAACAACTCCCATTTATCAATTTAAATTATGCATTTTTTTTTTAAATAACATCATAAAATGATATAAGATCTGAATACTATGATCAATTGTACACCAACTATGCTACACTAACTATGCTCCCTTCGCAGCTTAGTGAATAGATTCCATTTAAAGAAAGTGAGTGACAGTGAAACATTTGACCGATGCGCAGGAAAGTAGACACCAACATAAAAAATTAGCGTAGCTTGTAGGTAGTTACTTGTCTCGTTATATCATGTCCTAGGTTTTACACATTCAAGCAAATTTACACGTAACTAACGGCCATTTTCTATTTCAATTATTTTCTATAAAAACACAAAAATTTGTAGAAATATGATGCAAAGGTTTTTTGAATTGCAGTGTTTTTTTTCACTTTTGGGGGAAGGGGGTCGGTGCCCTTGGGAGTGGGAAAAAATGCAATAGGAGGGGGAATTTTATTTGTTTATTTATTTTCTATTGTGTTCATTCCAGTAGAAAAGGGGAGCAACTCTTGCAACACAAGATTAAAATACGTCACTTTTTCTTAATATACAGACCAAAAATACCGTATAAGTGGTTTTTTCTGCGGTGACTTTATTTCTGCGTTTTCTGCGGTGAGTTTCGGCACCGCAGAAATTCAAACCGCAGAATATTTCTCTAACCTGCTACGATATGTATCCTACATTGTGACCTGTTTCGTCTAAAGTAATAACGACAAACAGATTATAACGGTTAGCGGGTTTTCAAGTTGTATAAAATTGCAGACGGCTAAGTATGTAATGTGTGTTTGTAAGGATGTACTTATTGTTAATTATGCCAATTTAAGAATAAAGATATTTCAAACCATTCCAACCCTTATACTGCTAAATAATCGTTGTTTACTTATAATGTCATCTAATACAATAGGTAAACTTGTATCAATTTTATTAAATTAAAGATCATACTACAGGGGTATATTTTTCACACGTTACTTCACGCTGATCAAAGATGTATTCCTTTCTATTGTTGCGCATTATATTTGTTTGCAAGCAAACAATATAATTGTTTGTAATTACTATACAGTTTTGCGGTGACGACGATAAACAAATGCGAACGTATATATGTAAATATAATAGATAGGGTAATGTGACTTATACTTTGATAAGATGAGTCGCAGAATTTAAATCATGTTTTGTCCAAAGAATGTGCCGCAGAAATAAAGTCCGCAGAAATAAAAACATGCCAAAATTTGGAAAAACCGCAGAATTTGGAGCCCGCAGAAAAAACCACCTATACGGTATTAATGCGTCGCATTTTAAACTTGTTGGGACGCTGGGAATAGCTCCCCTTACCTACCCGAGAACGATTTGTAAACAACCTTGCTTAACAGTAAGTCTTACAGGCATAAAATAAAACATTTTTCTACAAAAAAAATGATATTTATTGCAGGAAAATTCAGGGCTGTTTTATAGGGGGAAATTTTGGCTTTGAGGGGAAAAAAAACATACTATTTTGAGGGGGGAATGTGGCCAAATTTCGCCGAATATTTTGGTGAAAAAAACACTGAATTGTCTCAAATATCTAACAGAAACTTTGCCATTATTAATAGTATACAATGTTAATCAAGACTCAGAGAGTAGTCTGTATCTATTATTAGAATCTAGTTTAGCAGGCCATAGAACTAAATGAATGTGCCTGTGTTTTTTTGTATGTATGTAGTTTATGCTTAATGAGGGTCCATCCGCCCGTAAGGGCACAAAATGCAGCTTTCGGTGTCTGGACCAAAGTGTTGATAATTTACCTCCATGCAATTTCCACAGAATATTAGCCAAAGATATGAATTTTGAGCCAAAAGTAGGTCAATGTACAGTGATTAATGAGAACCTAAATGTACAGTAACCTTAGACAATATGAAAGGGTATCCCTGAAAAGGGCTGTTTGTGCCAGCAAAAGGCCTGCCATTCAAGACATCTAACTGTGCTAGGGGCTTTCGCACCCTAGCACATTATCTTCTTAGACCTGAAGCCTACGTTATAGGGCCACTCCCCTCGACTTTAGTCAGGACATCGGCAGCTGGTCCGCAGCACAAGTTACGATCTTTTTCACCGTCCCCAGTCTTCAAATCTTCCTCAGATGTCCTGTGTCTTCTCTACGACGTACACATACCCAGGGGAAGAGACAAGAATGGTTTTTTGTTTTGCTGAACTTTTGTGAAATATCAACACATAACATATCATGCAGAGATGTATAGTGGAACCCCATTGTATCGTGCTATTCATTGTATCGATCTGTTTACAAATCTTTCGATTTTTTTGCAAAATGCACTAGCTACTGATTGCTAACATTTACAACAGTGTCATGAAAATCTTTCGCATTTGTTTTGTGCCGTAAAAATGGTCAAAAACATGTTTCCAGTAACATCAGACTTTGTAGATAATAATTTAAATAAAAAGACTTATAAATAGTGTGTTCTTATTAAAAACACATTTACTGTCTGTTGTAAGTTCCTAAATTTATGCTGACATTTTAAAACAGACATCTTTGATTCTAAATGACTGAAAAATCTCGCATAAAGATGGGTCAGACTTCCAAAACTTTGACTAACTGAGCGATTCTCACAATGCATCGATATAATGGCGTGACCTAATTCTTCAACCTGTTTGACATGTCTGTAAATAACCGTATATTCCAAAGCTAAAACTATAAATCAGTGATGTTTGCCATGTAATATTTATGACAAAAGAATCAAAATAAATGATACAAAATAAAGATTCAGGGAAATTTAAATTTTTTAACTGCAGTTGTGATTTATGGGTAAATAGATCGATACAACGGGGTTCCAGACTACTAACAGAGATGAGCAGGTCCTATAAACTACATTGAAATAGTTATGATTACAATATCTCTGTTATTTATGTCTGTGATAACATGTCATATCCTATGTTTATCAGTCTTTTTATCAATATGTGATCTCATGATATGTTTACTGCCATAACATAAACACCAATAAATCATAAAGCATGCGAAATTGAAATGTCTTCTTTTTCAGTTTCATTGACGGATGAATGATCTATAAAAAGATCAGAAAATATAAATAAAAAATAACGCCCCAACAATTTAAGCTGATACCAACCTCTGCGCAAAATCGTGCTCTTTGAAAATTGACATCATTCACAAGACCGTAAACTTCTAATCGAATTGCAGGTGCCATCTTTGAAAATTGTTTACCTTGGTGACAGTAATCTGTGTTAATATGACGCTTTTTTGTTCTGTGTTTTATTTTCGTACGAACAATTCCAGAATTCATCGAACAGCTACTGGACATTCTGTTCCACATAACAGACGAGCATGTAGTGATGAAATCAACCTTCGGAACAATTTTGCATGTGATTGGTCAAAAAGATGGCAAATGATTTTCAATAATAAAAGTAATTAACTATATGTACATGTACATATTCAAAACGCACCCTGTGACTTTTCCCTGAAATACTCTAGTAATAAAATTAGTCAATTTAATTTCAATGGTCGCTGCTGTTCCCGTACGAAAATCGTACGTAGTTATTTAAAAATTATATTTTATTATGCTCACTCATCAAAAAATTGAATGTTACGCATCAAAATTCAGCTCCTCACACAAATTATGGAAAATTCATTATGTTCTAAACATAGAATAACCTTTAGATATGAGGCCTCATATCGCCGGGGTACCGAAATTATTCATTATTTCGTATGAAGAGAAGTAGTTCCCGTACATAAAATAAAACCCATTATACTTATACAATGTTGTAACATCAGACCTATTTTTCATCTATGATTGTTGAAGAGACCATTTTCCCAGAGGAAGGTAAATGTAATTCAAGATAAAGAGCGTATATATAGATAAAACGATGACCACGTATTACCCGGTACCGGTACCCTAACGCAAACACATGTAATGACGTGCTTCTATTCGCGATATTTTACTCATTAAAGCCAAAAATTATTTAATATAGTAATATAGGTCAAAATTCTGATAATTTATCAGGTTTTCATCGCATTGCCTACTTATCTGTATATGCAGGCGGTATAAGCAGAAAACCCGTTAATAGGCCTCACATGTAAGTATTGTTGCGCATGCGCGCATAAACGGAATCCCCCAAAGTTAACAAGGCCACGTTTTGACAACGCACAGGTGAAAGTGATTTAAAATGAAAACTTTTTATATGTACTACCAAACTGTCGCTGAGATTTTGTCTCGTGTATGCATCTGCTTGATTTGATATCAATTTTTGAAGAATGCAAGTAAAAATCAAGCGTTTAAACGAAATATACGGGTACTGCTTCTGTACGGAAACTGCTCGCATGCCAGTATATATACATGTACGTACAGTCAGTTGGCTGGTTAGTCTGCCCGGCCGTCTCCATCTTGTTAGCTCTATAAATCCTATACCCATAGATAGAGCTGTCATTGATTCAGTGCAAAGCATATCAACGATATATCGATATCAAGTAACTAAAATCAACGATACACCGATATATCAATAATATCCTATACTCACTTGTCTGTCATTCATTTTCATACCTGTTTCAATGATTTCAGTCAAAAACATGTTCTGTACAGTGTCTTGTCCACTGCATGATTTTTTCTAGACAATATTTTTTGTCACCATTGCTATGAAATAATCCCACTATATAACAAAAGCATCACATTTGATATAAATAATTGTTTCTGCACATATTTTGGGTGAATTGTATAATTTCTAGGCATTTAATTAATAAGTCAAAAGTATCGATTTTTTAAAATGTGTATCGATTATTGATCGACAAAAAAATATCAACGATACATCGATATTGTCGATATCGATGACAGCTCTACCCATAGAAGGATTTTACCCAAGTTTGGCTAAATGTAAACCTCAACAAGGTGATGTGCACAAAAAGTCAAAGGACATACATCGGGAAATTTAACGTCTTCTCTTTGAAGCCTATATACATGTACATGTATAACCAGTCAAAGGTCTTTCTTCAAACTTGGCTCAAATGAGCAAGACAATATGCAGTACCCATGCCATCGTTGTGCTGGCTCGAGGCCAAGGTCATCCTTGATGGTAAAAAGTCAAATATCAGACAATTTCGAATCCGCTCCGTGGCCCTTAAAAGTTTTTTTTAAACTTGACTCATTTGTTCACCTGAAATTCAATATGCAGAATCCATGATACCGTTGTGCAGGCATAAGGTCAAGGTCATCCTTGAAGTTTAAATGTCAGACAATCTTATATCCGCTCTACAAAATCCTTTACCTCTTTGAGTATTTTTTTTTCAAAGCTTGGCTAAAACAGGCAATTAACTGCCGCAGTGCTACACTTGAAGGACAAAATGCAACATTTTGTTTATGCTCAATGAATTCTATATATATATTTCAAATGACTTCTTCAAATTGAAATAAAACATTCTGTTTGAAATTGGTGTGTGTGTGGGGGGGGGCTTGAATGACTCTACAGAAGGCATGCTATACATGTAATTCACAAAGTTACATGTATAATGATAGGGTGTTTAAACAAGATCTGAACAAGCATAATTATATGGTTGTTAATAAATACTACATAGGTGCATATGACGGATAATCCGATATGGACTTCTAATAATGGAGGAAGTAAAAAATCATCAAAATATTAATAAAATGAACCAAAAAGTCAACTACGGCACAACCAAAAAAGGTTATAGGTTAACTCGGATTCCTAAATATAACCATAGTCATATATAAATATTAAATAATGCTATAAGGCCAATGTGTAAGAGGGGCATGGACGGTAGCAGAAGCTAGCACTTACCATTGCCATCTATCAATAGGTTTAATAAAAAATAGCATTTGCCGTTTGGAACGTTTGATTGGACATGTTTTTACCAAACTGTTGTTAATGCCACCTAATTGTTAAAACATATTTGGAAGTAAATGCATTTGGAAAATGTAATTTACAGAAAGATAGAAAGTTATGAAACTGGTAAATATTAGAAAGTCGGAAATCCAGACTCCTTCCGCCTAAGTGTAATCCAATTAAGTGTGACATTGTGATCTATATTGCATTTTGAAATCTGGAGTAGTTATAGTTTTATCTACTTACTAGTTACGACAATGGACCGTGTCTACATGTATTTGCCTGTCTGTAGGTGACTATCTAGTTGAAATATATCAGTTATGATAAGGCGTGTTTGTTGAAAGATTGTGTTTTTTTTTGCACTTTCAAATCAAGCATTATTAATAATGGTTTTATTATGTCACAGGGTGAGAAAAATGTGCAGCCTGACCGGGACTCGTACCCGGGACCCTAGGAATACCGTACCGCGGCTCTTCCGACTGAGCTATCCGGCCGCTTACACATCTTCTCCCCTATATATAGTGAACAGTTCTGAACCGTGACATTATATATCAGTTAATGGTGTGGTACCTCTATTTTTTGCCCTATCCTGTTACCGAAATAGTACCCTTGCGGGAGGATTTGACGAGGACTTGGTTCTGTGGACATTACTCTGCCTTTATTGTTAGTCTTTTTTATATCATATTTGATGAAACCTAGTTACAATTGCTTGAATCTGTGTATATACACGAACGTATATATATGTGCATGCATGCATGTACGTGTTTCTGATAATTAATGTTCCAACTGATGACAACCTTTACCATATGTAACTTGTTTTGTTTCAAAACATTTATCAAGTAAATAAACTAATATGAGTTTTTTAATTAGTAAAATATGGAGGACATGTCACTTTCTAGGAATTAATCTACATATAGGTTATTTGTACTGTTGATAAGCATTGTTTATTTTTACAGTAATGCTATGTATTATGTTTAGAATGTTGGTGAGGTTGTTTTTTTGTGTGTGTGTTTTTTTTGTGTAAATATATAGGATAATATTCGCAGTTGCTCTATTAAAAGATTTTTAAATAAAACAAAATCGTAAAAATATGAAAAAAAATAAGGCATTCAATATTAATTTCATGTAACTTAATTTAAAAGTATACTGCAGTATAAACATCTAAATTTTCTCAATTCATGCGATGTTTCTTAGTTTTTACATAGATCTGTAAGAAACATTATATGGTTAAGCCGTGCACGAATTTATTCATTTCAAATAAGCCATCAATTTTACAATCGTACAGACTGCAAGCACTTGTGTGACCTTGAATATCCGTTGAATTTCCTGACCTTGTCAAATTTCGGAAACTAATTTACAATGTTGTCTACGCTTAAATTTGTAAGAAATGGATTACATCAAAAGCAAGTAAGTAGAATAAGTATTTGCAGCAGAATTTGTTCAAATGCATGTTCGTTACCATATTTCAGAAAACTTCGAATATTACTGGTATTCGGACAGTAATTTTCCGGCTAGATATTTGTTTGTCACAGCAAACAAAAAAAACTCTACTTCTTCTTCTTTTTCCTCCAGTATAAGAGCCGGGATCCAAAAGGAATGTAATGAGGCTCTGCGGAACTATGTACATGGTGAGATGGAACACTCTTCCGCTCAGTGATAAAAGTTGTAAAAACTGATAAAAAAAAAAAAGAAAAACAATACAGTATGCCTCTAATATGCAAAAGGCAAAGCCTCAAAGCGAGCGCGATTTACTTTTACCGTTAAACAGTATAAAATAGTTGTTCATTTTCATTTTACATCTTCCGATTTTAAATCTGTCATTCGGTATTTTCAGACATTCCGAAAAGTATTTTGTCAAATTGACATTACTGGTTGGGGACCACCAAAACCTGACAACCACCAAAACCGGATGGCCCCGAAAATGCTATATGATATAAAATTAATTTTGACTAACCTAAGGGAAGGGCCCACAATAATGTTGTTAGAACTGTACACTTCATTATGTTTATGAAATTGTATATTGTGAGTATATTTATACAATGAAATATTAATAAACAAATGGAAATGCATGGTTGAAGAACACAAGATTCATGTTTTTATATACCGGGTATCTTAAATCAATGTTTTTTAATGATTAAAGACATGTACCCCTGAAAACTAATTTGACTGAAGGAGATTTTGGTGCTCAAAATTTTGTCATAGGTCATTAGGTGGGTCATTAAAATAAATTACCTTTTGAATGTTTGTCGAATGGTGTACTGAATGTGAATGCCCAGTATATTTACATTATTCTGTTACCATGCCAAATGTGCCTATTAAATGTCATTGATTAAAATCCACTGTATCAAAAATTTACAAAAAATAAATTATGGATACTTATAGACAATACAGTTTATTTAGTCTAAGACATGTCTTGACAAATGAAATATAGTCTTTATCTAATCAAGTATTTTGTTGCTAGAATTTTTGACATTGCTAACAATATCATGAATACATGATTGCCTTCATGTTCTTATTTGTTTTTTGTTGCATTATTTCAGAGGAAGCTATGACGGCATACTTAGCTGAAGAAGTCAACAATCTAGTTAAGGTTTACAATGAATTCTCACAATAATTTATATGAAGAGTATCAGACCACTTAAGCATTAAAAGAAATTGTCATGTTAAAATCTTTAAAGAATACTTTAATGAATGTTTATACTTCCTTCTTTTTCAGTTCCTGGTTGGTCTTGTGCAAGCCTCCAACTTTGCGACTGAGGCAACATTTGAAACACAGGTATTTAACTAATCCATACAGAAAAATACTTTACAACTAGTACTTCAGGTTTTAGTTTTAATGTTTATGAAGAAAAGAAAGTCACTAAGTGTAATGTTTATGCAGAAGTAAACAAAGTAAAATGTTTATGAAGAAAACAGAGTGTTATGTTTATTAAGTTTAGTTTAGTTTAAACATATTTTATTCCTTTCAATTTTTACAATATGTACAATGCAAATTATAGAAAGAAAAATATATAAATACATTTTGAAAGAAAAAGGGTTGGACCACAAGTTCAAATAATATTAGTAAATTGGTCCGTCCCTAGTACGAATATAAAAAAAAGATTGATATTATAGATTACATTGAAATGGCATTGAAGAATATAACATAGTACATGTATTTTAGGAATAAAAATGTTAGATCATTTGCTAAGAGAGAGAAAGAGAGAGGATGTACTTTTGACAGTCGCAATTTATTTTTTAAGAGCAAAAATCTTCAGCAGATTTTATCGAAAATGTTCCGTATGCTTAATATAATTATCTTTGAACTTCTAAAAATATTATTGAAGTGTCTTCTTCGGAATAGGTAATCTAATCAAAAAGAAGAGTACACGTATTTAATGGATGAAAATGCGAGTAGCATTAAAAAGTTGAATACGTTGTGATGTATACCGTCTGCAATTGAAAAAGAAATGTTCAGCATCTTCGAAAGCATAACCACATTCACAAGATGCATTTTCTCTTAAATGATTTATAAATAAATCGGCATTTAAATTGCTACATTTGTTACGAATTTGAGCGTGTAAAACCGAATGTAGACGATCCCCGATACAGAAAAAATTAGGATCTGTCGGAGGTTTGTATTTCTGTTTAAGTTTGCATTTAAATATATTAAGGGAGGTTGAATTTCTTATGTCGGTATCAAAGTTATTCCATAACAACGTTGCTGATGGAAAAAATGAGTTTGTAAAAATTTGAGTATGACGTGCTACAGTTGTATAATTGTCTCTGTTTCTTTAGACATAAGGTACATAATATTAGAAACGGTATCTGGACAAATGTTTAACAAATAATCCGGTAAGGTGCCCTGTTTAACTTTAACACTGTAACAAGTTTTTGAATAGTTTGTCTGTCAGACAATGATACCCAACCAATTTCATTAAGCAAACGTAAATCCATCCCAGACAATTGACGCATATTCTAAGAATGGTTTCATGTAGGAAATGTATATTTGATTTAAAGTTTTTCATTTAAATTTGTATTTTAATGCTCTCATAGATTCTAGAACTTTGGAAGCAGACATTAATATATTGTTTATGTGGTCATGCCATTAATACCATCAGTACTAAAAGTGACACGTAAGTGTTTATGCAAGAGAAACATTATCAAAGTAGAGAGATGGCTTATCGTCAGATCCAAGTGTGAAAAATAACACTTCTGTTTTGTTATAATTAAAGTTTACTAGCCAATGTTTCGACCATTCTGTAATTTTATTTAAGTCTTCATTAAGGGTACGTTCCATAAAAGCAATATCAGAACTGGAAACTGCGAGAGAGCTATCTGCTATCATCTGCAAAAAGTCTTGTTACACTGATTAGATTATCGGCAATGTCATTGACATAAATTAGAAAGAATAAGTGGACAAGGACAGAGCCTTGGGGGACCCCAGCAGTGATATATTTACTTTCAGAATAGGAGGAACCAACAAAGACCTTTTGGTTTCGATTACTTAGATAATTATTAATTCATTTCAGAATCTGACCATTAATTCCGTATGGTTTTAATTTGAATATAAGTCCTTCGTGCCATTATAACTCTATCAAACGCTTTTGAAATATCACAAAAAAACCATACATGTTGGAATTTTATTATCAAAAGAATAACAAATTTGATGGTAGATGTCCAGTAATTGGTACACAGTCGAATGACCATGATGACCTGGCAAAAATCCAGACTGATTTTCGTAAATTAATTTATTTGCATGTAAATGGTTTATTACCCTTTTTAAAAAGCGGCATGACAACAGCTGATTTCCAAGAGGCCGAATATATACCTTCAGATAGTGAACGGTTAAATAGAATACAAAGAGGCTTACAAATAGAGGTTTTACATTCTTTAAGCATACAATTGGGCCTGATGACTTATTAATTACAAAGGATGATAATATATCAATAATTTCTATTTCAAGAATTTGAAATGATTGTAAAACTTCATTCGTTTTAGTAATAAAGTTTGGAAGACTTGCATTAGCGGCGTCATTTGTTGATATAGAAACAAAATAATCATTCAAACAATTAGCTTTTTCAGTATCGGAAGAATAGATAACATCATTTCCATTAATTTCAAAATTGAAGGGGGGTATAATTTGACAATTTTTATTTTCTTTCACAAGCTGTTTGACTGTTTTCCAATATGAACGGGGGTTGTTTTCACTACTGTCACTTAATGAGTATTCTAAGTCATTATATAGTATTTTTGTTTTGCGTGTGTTTTACGATTATTTACTTTATTACGAAGTTGATTATATTTAATCCAATCAATAATTTCTCCGGATTGGACAGCTTTTGCTTTTTGACAATCTCTTTTACGGGAAGTGAGACAAATAATAGAATCGTACCAGGGTCTGTCATTTGGTCTGATATTTCCGTAATTAGAAGGGATACACTGTTTCGCAAGCTCCATGAATTTTACATTAAAGTTTTCGGTTGCTTCATCAAGTGTATTAGAGTTAAGAAATGACCAGTCTGTTGTTATTATTAAATCGTTAAGTTTCTCAAAATCAACGCGATTGTAATACCACACAAGTCTTTTGTAAGGTACTGATCGATTGGGGTAATTTAAATTTGATATATATATAAATGCCAAAATGATCACTAATATTCCTCGGTGTCTTAAAAATACCCGAATGTAAAATTAAATTCTGGTCTGAGATAGCAATTGGATCAATAAGAGTTGACGAGTTGTCTGCGACTCGTGTCGGTTCCATAATAACATTATACATATTATTCAAAATTAATACATCGCAAAGTTTATGGTTCCTTATGTTCAACTGGTCTTCATTAATGTCACCTACAAATAGGACTCTTCTTGATTTATTAAAAGCTTTTCCGAGGCAAATATTCAATCTAACCCAAAAGTCTACATTTGTATAAGGTGGACGATAAATATTACCTATCAAAATCTTTTCTTTTCATTACGGTCTTTTATTTCAATCCAAAGTGATTCTGGTAAGGTCACTTTCCAAATCATTTAGCCTTTTAGATACGAAATTCTCATTAACTAAAAGTCCACCAGAGTGACATGTGTTGTCTTTACGGTGTATTTCGCTGAAAGTTAGTTTCAAGCTGTCAATATTGACCGAGTTGTCCAAATGTGTTTCCGTAAAACAGATAATATCAAAGTCTAACCAGTTATCTGTAATATATTCAATTTTATTCAGAATACTTCTTATATTCTGATGAAAAACTGATAGAGATTCGTCACTGACATCATTAGGCCCTGGATTTAATTCAATATCACCTGATAAAATTATAAGATTTGATAAAAAAAAAAAAAAAAAAATGTAAGTTCAACTACTGAGATAAACTGTTCGATTCTTCGAACAAGTTAACAAGAACACATTTGTCAATTGATTACTGACATATAAAGAAACAAATACCCCAAAATAAAGATTGAAAATATTCAAATAGATAAACCAGGTAGCACATCGTATTAATAACACATACTGCATTAAATAGATAAAAACTTTCATTAATGCTTTATATGGATAGCTACAATATCGAGTTTTCTTAAGTAACCTCTGAGTGCTGTTATAAAAAAGACCGATCGCCACACGGTAAGCACTTAAATCATTCATTACCTAAACAGATACAGGCTTAATACTAGTAAGATTGTACCGACGACCGCAACAGACAGACACATATTATTAATTGGCAACACTAACCTGAGACAAACTTCGGAACTTGCACAATACACAACTTCAATAGCTAGGTATATGAAGCTTAAAATAATTAATTCATGATATTTTACCATATTAAGTGCAAATACCCCAAGTAGATGTTGCCAACCAATATACAAAACTCATGTAATTGGGGGAAAAAAGATATCATCAACATTCAACATCAAAAAGACAACAACAATAAACATTCGGATAATGCTTAATTGAAAAATAGAATGCAACTGAGACAAGCATTTGAAAAACAGAGACATACTAGTATTTAAATGGACTATAGTAATAAGCCATAACGCGTAACTGTTTAAAATATTGTGATTGTATTAAATATCTTGAATTTATCAAGAAATCGAAAACTATTCTTAATAGTGAGATTTTTGTCAAAAACAACAATATTAGAAATAATAAAAATTATAATAATTATAATTTTAATTTTTTCTTTGTTATCATAAATTTTGTGTAAAATATTACTCCGTTAAATTATAGTTTTATTTATTTTCGGTCATTTTTTACATTTCTGTTGAATTTGACGACTGTTTTTAACTGTAAATCATATACTAATATTCATAAAGAAAATATTAATATAATTTATAAAGATATTTTTCATATATATTCATAGATCTAGTACATATTTACACGTTGGTAACTACCAGAGCAAATCAAATTTCCGCATTTGTACACCATATATAGAGTAAGTTTACCTGAATTCATGTGTATATACACATACATGTATATGCAGCTGCTTTACAAAATGTATTATTCAAATGGAAATGTACTTCAGGTGAAAATGCATTATCAAACAATTTGTGAAATTGCATAATCAAACAGAAAACAAACAAAAGAACAAAAAGAAAGAAAAACAACAAAAAATCAAAATACACACAGACACAACAATAATAATTCTTATGGCAATGTTAAAAAAAAAATCAAGTGGCTCGTGCTCAGTCACGCTACTATTAGCTCAGGTAACAAGATTTACAAGTTTTCATTGGCTACCTGTAAATAACTTCTCACATACGTAACATATAATGCATACAAGATATTAAGTATACAAAGTGTTATGTTTATTAAGTAAACTATGTGTTTATTATGTTTAGTAAGTAAAGAAAGTGTTATGTTTATGAAGAAAACAAAGTTATGCTTATGACGTAAACAAAGTGTTATGTTTATGAAGAATACATTATTAACCTGATGGAATGTTTATGCAGAATACAAAAATGAACGTTTTTGAAGAAAAAATAGAATGATTTAATTTATAAAAGTTCATACATGTACTACAGATGGGCACAGCAAAGCCAGAACTTCACATAATGTTAAATTTCCTATTCCCTCATTTTCACTTTTTCAGCATACTGATATACAACTTTCAAGGGCCTGTATTTATTTTGCATATAACATCTCCATTGATTCTAGAGCTGATATGTGTCACTGTCATAATGTTTGGTGAATGATAATAGATATCTTATATGATTGCTAACTTTTCGCCTGGTTCCTGGAATTGAATGCAATAAGTGCAGACCAAGATCATAGTCTAAACTGTTCGCTAATTCAGTCAGTTACTATTTTTGAAATTTTCCCTAAAAACTGACGAATGGTTTAGTCAATATTGAAAGATGGGCAAGTCCATTTTAGATATTTATGATGCTAAGAGTTAATGTTTATATTTTGTAGCCATACAAGCTTCACAAGCTTACAGAAGGGCCAAGCACGACTGTGTCTATGACGCGGGATGAGGGTTTGAAGTTCTACACTGACATGGTCACAATCAGAAGAATGGAGACTGTGGCAGCTAACCTGTACAAGTCCAAGGCCATTAGAGGTTTCTGTCATCTGTACTCTGGGCAGGTAGAACATGCTTTTTTTTTAATTAATTTGAAAATCTGGAACTGTGTTTCTAGGCCAAAAAATATATGTACATGTAAAATATTGCTTTTGCAGGCTGAAAACACAGAAAGCATGCATGATTTTTTGCCCCATGAATGTCAATACAAAAATATATACTGTCTTATTTAATGAAGAAATATCAGGCAAATTAGGGTTCTTGAGGAGATCATGGACAGCCTTCTTGAAAATATTTTTTTTATTTATCAAATATTGCCCCACTTTGGATTTGAACTGGCAACCACAAGTTTACAAGCCAATTAAGGCAACATTCTAGATTACTGAGCTAAAAAGGAATCAATCTCTGACAAAGTTGCCTATTATGTTCTATTTATAGTAAACAATGCAGGTGTATTAATTTGTATACTATATGTCTATACATTTTGTATATTTCCTTTGTAGGTATGATAAATTGGTCTATTTTATATGTACTTCATTCTTTCATGATATACTGAATGTATTACAAAAATGTGGCTCACACTTTTCATGAATGAGATCAAAAGAAAATTTATTAAAATACTTGTGCATATTTCCAGGAAGCTTGTTGTGTTGGTATGGAAGCAGCTATCACACCAGATGATGGTGTAATCACAGCATATAGGGCTCACGGCTGGGCATATGTACGTGGAATAAGTGTTCTTGGTGTATTGGCAGAACTAACAGGTATGTCCCATTCCGTCTGTGACCAAGTGGTTAAGGTCATTGACTTCAATCCACTTGCCTCTCACCACTATGGGTTTGAACCGGGTAAGTGCTGTTGGATTCTACATGTGAGAAGGCTATCCAGCTAGCTTACAAAACATTGGTGGTTCTACTCAGGTGCACGTTTTTGCCTGAAATAATGTACAGAGGGGCACCTGAGGTCTTCCTATACTATTAACGCTGGAAAATCGCCATATGACTACTTTGTTGGTGCAACAACACAAAAATATATATTATGGCAATACGTTAATGACAAGAATAATGCTCTTGAAAACATTTTTTTCTAAATTCTAACTCTGATTTTGTTTGTATAATAAACTTTTCCTACTTTGAATACAGAATTGTGTTATTTTTAGGCAAGATATATCTTTTCTGACATTTAGGAGGCAATAGTGTAGTGATCATTTTCCGCTGTCAAGTTGAGAATGTGGAAATGTGATAAAAGCTTGAAGCTTTTTTTAAACCGCTTGTTTTCTTTCTTTGAGCTAATCAGTGCAGTTGTGTGAGAAGTCATGCCATGGTCTTGAGCCGTGAGAAACCGGCATTTTAGCCAGGATGCCACTACCTCAAATCATGCATGCTTCACCAATTGTACACCTGTGAGTCATGTAAGAAAGCAGTTTAGTTAGCAAGTTTAGGTAGCAAACAGTAATTAACTGGTTCAACCCAGGAGTTAGAATGTATCTGATACTTAACTGTGGTTGTTCTCAGCACTGAATATATTATATAAGTAAGTTACCATATTATAAGGCTTATAAACTGAACAGTTTTGGAGATTAGTTATAATGACAAACTATTATTATGTGACATGTCAACATATGGACCAGAATGCTTCTTAAAAGGCAGAATCTGAATTTATCTGGTTTATTGTTTCGTACTTGACAGGTAGATCATCAGGATGTGCTAAAGGCAAGGGAGGCTCTATGCACATGTATGCACCCAACTTCTATGGTGGTAATGGCATTGTAGGTGCTCAGGTATGTGTTACTTTATTCTATTCTTCAAAATAAATGCTTTACAATGTATTGCTGAAAGTCTGATAGCCCTGACTTGTAATGGTCTTTTTGAAAACGAAAATTAAAAAGAAAAAGATCAACTCTAAGTTGAGTAGAGTACTACATGGATTTTACAAATTCCATTACCAAAAAAAGTTGAAATTATATATTCTTACGTTTAGGTGCCATTAGGAGCCGGGATTGCACTGGCTATGAAGTACCAGGGTAAACCCAATGTCTGCTTATCATTATACGGTGATGGTGCAGCAAATCAAGGACAAGTATTTGAAGCGTACAACATGGCCAAGTTGTGGGATCTACCTTGTATATTTGTATGTGAGAATAATGGGTATGGTATGGGAACAAGTGTAGGCAGATCTTCAGCCAGTACAGAATATTACACTAGAGGAGACTACGTACCAGGATTATGGGTAATTTTTATTGACTTTTAACCCTTAATTGGTAATATAATATGCTGATTTTGTGTAATGGATTTCCCCTGTTTTTGAAGTGGTAAAGTCCATTTGAGATTTAAAGGGTTTTTATACCAAAATACAAAAATTGAGCTATAAACAGTATATAAACATGGTCTGTCTCTATGGATTTCTGAACTAGTGTAGTTTTAAAGTGGATGTAAAGACTTTCGGGGGAAACATATTACAGGTATTTATTAGTTTTAACAGAGCTCTGAGGAATTTTATATACTTTGACATACTTGAATTATTTCATATTTAAGAAAAAGATATTTGGGAACAATAATCTGTTGAATGTGGTTGTTTAGATGATAATGATAATATTTGTTTGTTTTTGTGTAAGATGAAATTATATTTTATCAAGCAAGCTTCAAAATTAGTATTCTCATGATTGGCATTTTCTTTTAGCTATTTATCAATTCCAGTTTACTTTTGTTCTACACAGGCCTGAAATTGCTGAAATTATAAGCGAAAGTAAAAGTGAGATACCACATGGATAAATTTTTAAAAAGTAGTCTTTTTTTGTTGTTGAAAAGTGTGAAATACTTCGATAATTATCACAGTAAAGTTTTCAAACATGATTTTCGCAGATAAATCAGTAGTCAACTCAAAAGCATGAAATAAATGATTTATCAATTGTTATTAAGAATTTTGTATGTTGATAAATCCCAGGTTGATGGTATGGACATATTAGCTGTAAGAGAAGCAACAAGATTTGCTAAAGAATATTCATTGAAGAATGGTCCCCTTGTCATTGATTGTGCTACATATAGATACCATGGTCACAGTATGAGCGATCCAGGAACCAGGTATAGAAATACTTAACTTACTTTATTGTTGAAATACAATTATTAAGTTTGTATTTAAAGGGGACATAAAAACTGTTACACCAAACATAGACATTACATATGTAAAACAATTTGAATTTAAAGCAAAACTAACGGGACATAAAAACTGTTACACCAAACATAGACATTACATATGTAAAACAATTTGAATTTAAAGCAAAACTAACGGGACATAAAAACTGTTACACCAAACATAGACATTACATATGTAAAACAATTTGAATTTAAAGCAAAACTAACGGGACATAAAAACTGTTACACCAAACATAGACATTACATATGTAAAACAATTTGAATTTAAAGCAAAACTAACGGGACATAAAAACTGTTACACCAAACATAGACATTACATATGTAAAACAATTTGAATTTAAAGCAAAACTAACGGGACATAAAAACTGTTACACCAAACATAGACATTACATATGTAAAACAATTTGAATTTAAAGCAAAACTAACGGGACATAAAAACTGTTACACCAAACATAGACATTACATATGTAAAACAATTTGAATTTAAAGCAAAACTAACGGGACATAAAAACTGTTACACCAAACATAGACATTACATATGTAAAACAATTTGTATTTAAAGCAAAACTAACGGGACATAAAAACTGTTACACCAAACATAGACATTACATATGTAAAACAATTTGTATTTAAAGCAAAACTAACGGGACATAAAAACTGTTACACCAAACATAGACATTACATATGTAAAACAATTTGAATTTAAAGCAAAACTAACGGGACATAAAAACTGTTACACCAAACATAGACATTACATATGTAAAACAATTTGAATTTAAAGCAAAACTAACGGGACATAAAAACTGTTACACCAAACATAGACATTACATATGTAAAACAATTTGTATTTAAAGCAAAACAAACGGGACATAAAAACTGTTACACCAAACATAGACATTACATATGTAAAACAATTTGAATTTAAAGCAAAACTAACGGGACATAAAAACTGTTACACCAAACATAGACATTACATATGTAAAACAATTTGAATTTAAAGCAAAACTAACGGGACATAAAAACTGTTACACCAAACATAGACATAACATTATGTAAAACAGTGATTCAATCGCATTTATTGTTAAAAAAAAGCTATAATATAAGAAGTAGGGTCATGTAAATAGATTGTCTGTTTGATTGTTCTATTGAGTTATTCTAGATCATTGCGACTATATTCTATGATTCAGTTGTCCTATATAATTCAGTTAGGATGAAGGTTAGGTTTTTAGGCCTAAGATTTGCAAGTTTGAATACTGGAGGCATTTGTATGAATAATGCTATTTGTCCCCTACTGTTTTGAAGTTGAAAATTGGCCATTACATGTTTAAGTTCACTTTGGCATTAAAAAGAATAAGATTGTGTTGAATTCAGAAAAAATTCTAGACAAATTCCCATTGGTGTATTAATGAATAACTAATAAAATCTTGAATTAAACCATCAAAACAAAATAAAATGTTCTATTTATAGTTACCGTACTCGTGATGAGATTCAGACAGTGAGAGAGAAAAGAGATCCAATTATAAATCTCAGGAACAAACTCGTAGATGCTGATCTTGCTTCTGCTGATGAGCTCAAAGTAAGATATCTTTAGTATATTCTACTTGATACAAAAGTTTGTGCATTTTTTTCCCCAGAATATTATTAATACTATATATATATATCAAAATATATAACACTAGAAATGTGTACATAAGGACGCAGATGCCCCCCACAATCCACTATTTTGTCAGTCTACAGACAGCTCGATACCAGTACAGGTGGACGGACAAGATTAACTCTATATGCAAAATTTGAGTTTTCAACAGTTGACCCTAACCAAACAGGCAAGGATAGGAAGGCTGTTCCGACTCAAAAGTTGTGGCCTAGGTCTGAATATAACCATAGGTGTTACAACTGTTAAAAGAGTGTTTGATACTCATTATTTATTTAAGTAACCCCTCATCAGATAGGAGGAAAATATTCAGATTTTTTTTTTTTATTACTTTTTTTTTATCAAAGAACTTAATACTTGAATACTTAAAAAGTAATAAGTACCTCTGTAGCCACCAGAAAACAAAGAAATAGAATATCACATTATTAAAAATTAGAAATGGACAAATCTTCCTATGCTTGGATAAAATAACTCGATGGAGACCATAAAAAAATGATTCTGAAACAAAGTGAATACTTAAAATTAAGAAATCTTGATGGCTAAAAATTGTAAAATTTTAATAGAGGTGTTTGTTATTACATGTATTATGTATCATTTACTGCAAAATCATTATTATTTGTTTGGCACTAGTTTTCATGGTTTTCCAACTTTTCCTAGATATGTCAATCCACGAATTTAAGATCCAACAAAATTTTGATTTGTCTGCTGTAAGATTATCGCATTATTTACATTTTACCTTCTGGAAAAATAAACAATCCATGAATTTAAGACTCATTTTACCCATCAATTTTTTTTTATATATATATTTTTTAGTGACAAATCCACAGAATTTCATGCTCACAAAATTAAGTGAATTCACAATATTTTTTTAAAAAAAAATTTCAGAAAATTGATCAAGATGTGAGGAAACAGGTAGATGAGGCAGCAAGCAAGGCTAAAACTGACTCTGAACTGCCACTAGAGGAGTTATACAATTCTATTTTAGTAGATCCACCATCAGATATGCTAGTTAGAGGATGTGATGACTCTATATGGGCCAAGACCACAGCTTAATTGATTATGATGAGATTATTGTGTTGTTGTTATACATGTAGTTGTTATTTATGGCAAGAGACAATAATGTAAATTGTTAATCGCCCAGGGCTATGGAGTTACAGTAGTTTTTATGCCCCCGCCATGTAATGGCCGGGGCATATAGTGTTACCCTGTTCCGTCCTTCCGTCATTCCGTCCTTCCGTCATTCCGTCCTTCCGTCATTCCGTCCTTCCGTCATTCCGTCATTCTGTCATTCCGTCATCATCAGTTTCCGTTCATTATCTAAGTAACGGTTGCACACATTCAACTCAAATTTGACATATGGATATGTCATGAGAAAATACAGGTCAAGTTCGAATTTGGTCATGGTTCGATGATTTTTGGCAGAGTTATGCCCCTTTTACTTTAAAATAATATGAAATTTTCAGTTTCCGTTCATTATCTCCCCAACGATACAACACATTCAACTCAAACTTGACATATGGATATGTCATGAGAAAATACAGGTCAAGTTCGAATTTGGTCATGGTTCGATGATTTTTGGCAGAGTTATGCCCCTTTTACTTTGAAAATAATATGAAATTTTCAGTTTCCGTTCATTATCTCCCCAAAGGTGCAACACATTCAACTCAAATTTGACATATGGATATGTCTTGAGAAAATACAGGTCAAGTTTGAATGTGGTCATGGTTCGATGATTTTTGGCAGAGTTATGCCCCTTTCACTTTGAAAATAATATGAAATTTTCAGTTTCCATTCATTATCTCCCCAACGGTACAACATATTCAACTCAAACTTGACATATGGATAAATCAAAGGAATGCGCAGGTCAAGTTCAAATTTGGTCGTGGTTCAATGATTTTTGGCAGAGTTATGCCCCTTTCACTTTGAAAATAATATGAAATTTTCAGTTTCTATTTATTATCTCCCCAACAGTACAACACATTCAACTCAAATTAAACATATGGATACGTTTTTGGAATGCCCAGGCCAAGTTCGAATATGGTCATGGTTCAATGATTTTTGGCAGAGTAATGCCCCCTTTACTTTGAAAATAATATGAAATTTACAGTTTCTGTTCATTATCTACCCAACAGTGTTACATATTCAACTCAAATTTGACATATGGATATGTCAAAGGAATGGGTAGGTCAAGTTGGAATTTGGTCATGGTTCGATGATTTTTTGGCAGAGTTATGTCCCTTTCACTTTGAAAATAATATAGATACATCTTAGGAATAAGCAGTTTAAGTTTGAATTTGGTCGTGGTTCAATGATTTTGGACAAACTTATCTTTCTTGAATGTTGGAAAAATTTTGAACTTTCAGTTTCAGCACTCATACTTTTGTGGAAAGTTTGAATTTGGTCGTGGTTCAATGATTTTGGACAAACTTATCTTTCTTGAATGTTGGAAAAATTTTGAACTTTCAGTTTCAGCACTCATACTTTTGTGGAAATGTATGTAGCCATTATTTTGGCTACAAATATGAAATATGCTATTTTCAAAAGGTTAAGACTAAATAATTTCAGTGCTTTGAACATTGTATGAAAATGGTTTGTGTTAACATTTGAAAGTTTTAAGGGCTTTGAACTGCAAATGAAAAAAATAATTTGTGCAAACAAATTTGGAACTAAATATTATAACATCTGAAATTTTGGCTGCATGCGGGGGCATCCGTGGCATGATGACACATTTCTAGTTTCTCATTTAAAATAAACCAAAAAAACCTGAATATATGTAAAAACAATAAGGTGAAATATTTTGTAAAAATTATTTATTAAATCCAATACTTTTCTAATTAGATCATAGATATTTATCTGACTTTTTGTATGTTGGTTCTAATTTTCAGACATTTAAATCTGTGTTTAAAACTTGTACTTTTTCACACAAAAAAGTGTGAAAGTTTTTTAAGAAAAATTAAATTCTTTTTTTCTATTAGTATTAAGTAATTAACAAAGATCTATGCAGATTATTGTTAATTTTGTCCGGTGATTAAAAAAACAAAACAAAAAAAACAAAACAACAATATCTGTAAGTCCTGGAGTAATGCAATATTGCTTTGTTGCCATGGAAATAGTGTAGAGTTTTCCAGATACAAGGGTTGTTTTTGTGTATTGAATGAGAAAAGAATGAATTTTTATCACAAATAAGTGTAAATATGTTTCATACATTAAAGTGCTGGTTTAGTGTAGAACCTTAATATTGTCCATATTTGCTGGTTCAAATTAAAAGCATTTACCATTTGTACTTAACATTTTATGTGCACAGTAGTCTACGATATACAAACAGAGTATGAGTTTTTAGTATGTCTTGTATACCTTATATTAACATTTGCACATTTATGTTAGCATCATATGAACACTGAACTCTTACCGCCCTCAATATCTTAAATGGACTTGTCCACTAAGAACATTCATTATTTATAGGGAAATTTTCAAAATATATACTGACTGAATAGGAAATAGTGCAAACCATTATCAGTCTGCAAAGATTTACTGACAGACCTTGGTATGTACTGGTGTAAAACGTCGCCACCAGCATGCTTAAGGGTTGAAATAGTTAAGTTTGTAAATCTCTATGGCAAAGTTTTCTCTTTAATATTTGTCACAGATTTATACACATTTGCAGCCATTATTTAATTCTTCTAAAAATAAAAATCTTTTGTTAAAACTTTTTCAGAGATTTGTGCTCTGATCTTCAAATATTTTTAAAATGTTTCCTTTGAATTAGTGTTTATGAGAGAAGATAGAACATAATGAATATTGTTAGATTTTTATTATTTGTTTTTCAATTAATCTGGACAGATTATTAATATTTATAGATTATAAAGTTATTAACACATAGCCTGCCAAAATGCCTGAATGGATATGTCCTAATTTTCTTTGTGAATATGACTGCATATAAATTTGAAGGAATATATCCAAGAAAGTGTGGAAGTTGGTCTGTCACCAGAAGAGCTGCGTCATTTCTTGATGTGGCTATAAATGGGAAAAAATGGTAGTTGGCCATCACCAGAATATAGCTGCATGCAGTTTCTCTGGTGTGGCTTTGTTCCGAAGTTTGTTCGTCACCAGAAGAGCTGCGTAGTTTCTCTTGTGTGGCTTTATACTGAAGGTGAAGGCAATTTTGGTTTTAGCATTAACAAGATAACAGCTGTATTAATTAGCAATGTTCCTTGGACATTATATAATATAATACATTATAATATTATATATAAATATATATAACTCACATTTTCACGTTCATTTATGAATATAATGGCAGTTTTTTTGTATGCTTTATTCTGTTTAGCTTTGTGACAATTTTAGTTGTTTTGCTGATGTACATGTCACCTGAACAGTGCTCACAGCGTTGATATTTTTATGGCGTTTTCAAGCTTAAGTGAAAATGTAGACATTGGATAAGTTACTGTAATGTAGAAAAAAAGATCAAAAATTTGAAAAGAAAAGACGTATGTATGTAACAATTAGTTTTGGCATTGTCAGTATTTGAAAATGTTAGGGGCATGTCATTTTTAATGAGTAAAATTTAATTGATAAAATAAATTTTAAATGACTGATTTATCGTTAAAGTAAGTTATTATGGTATCTTATAAGCATTTTTTAATTTATTTAAATTATAGGAATGACAGTTGTTATACAGAATCTCAGTTTGTATAAGTGAATAATGAAATAATAGTTATGTGTGTAATACATTTGAAAAAAAAAAAGAAAATGGAAGAGATTTCATATTAATGTAAAAAAATTTAACAAATTTTCAGTCGGGTAATTAATTTGTGAAACATACACATAATTTTTCTGCTGTTAAAGTTTGATAGCTGTTTCTCTTTATGAAGAATGCGCATACAAGCTTACAAATGAGGAAAAATGAAAATATTTTTTCTTTGGCATAAGTGTACAACAATTTTTCTTTTAATGATGCATTAGTTATATTTCAAATTCCGATGTCATCATGTTCTTTCTTACAAAGTTTTGGAAACTAAAGATGCATATTATCAGCCAGGGCATTGTAAAGGATGTAGTCCCCATATAAAGGAGTACAGAGTAACTTAATTTACAGTATTTACATGAACCCATCAAATTTCTTCTATTTTTGGATCTGTCCACTACTTTTGGATCAGTCCATTCTCTGGAAGTTGACATGAATATAATTAGGTAATAGATGTTGTCTGAAAGAACTTGTTTGGTGATGGAGCTTACTGAAACTTTACTAATTAACTGAACTAAAAATAACAAATTTGAATAGTTTAGTCATCAGATTATAATGCATGATTTGTAGCCTGTAGTTTGCATGTTTTTCCTGTTAAAAGTAGCCTATTGTTTTTTAAGAATTCCTCAGGTTACGAAAAAAAGAAACAAGGTAGATTTAAATATATTTTTATTAAGTACCAGTATATGATTGTAATAATATGAATGGTTTGGTGTCTTAAAATGCTTTTAGTGTTATTTAAACTTAAAAGTCTTAATTTAATTTTGCAAATGTTTTGGCAATGGTGGGGAAGACAATATTAGAAATTTAGCAAGTCCCTGTGTTAAATGAATTGCTTTTTAAAATTGTTTTATTTTGCCTGCTTGATATGTTCATTTATTTAATGTGATCATATTTTACACAGGATTAAATTTGTTATTGAATAAATTTAACTTTGTTATTTTTTCCAAAGAACTTTAGACAAAACCAATGAAGAATTTAAATTATATTTCTATTTTTTATGTCCTTGATGCAAACACTTACCTGAAGAATCCAAGTCAGTTTACAGTGTGAAAGAAAAAAAAATAGAAAAAAATTTTGGTTTCATATATAAAATTGGTCTAATACTGCATAGGGTTTTAAATTTTCTGGTTCTATATTTTGCTGCTATATGGAACTGAGTCATTTGGAAGCAAATTATAAGGTTGATCTGAAATAAAAAGGTAACTTTAGTTTAGTATGGCTTCAACTACAATAAGTTTTACCACCAAACCTGTCTGTTAATCCTAATCAAATATCATTTGAGCCGCGTCATGACAAAACCAACACAATGGGTTTGCGACCAGCATGGATCCAGA